CAACAGGAAGACGTCAAATATTTTATATGTTCATTCCAGTTTAAGTGATCAGTAAAAATGACGCCCAGTAATTTGGTAGCAGTTTCGCGTTTTATTTCCTGATTAGCACAGATAAGATCTAGTTTAACTTTGTCGAGGGAATGCGTTCGTGACATTTGAGCTGTAGAGAACAGCATTGATTTAGTTTTTTTCGGATTTAATGACAGATTCGAAAGTGAGGACCAGTGATTCAGAGAATCCAACGATTGTTGCATATTATCGATTGATTGATCGAGTTTGGCAGTTTTACAATGTTCATACAGCGAAGTGTCATCCGCATATTGATAACAAGTTTGAGGGACATCAACATCAGATACATATAGGTTAAAAATAAAAGGACCAAGTATGGATCCTTGTGGTACTCCAAAGCATACAGGTGTTAGGTTAGATTTCTTGTCATCAATTTGAACATATTGGAAGCGATTTGTTAGATAACTCGTTATCCAGTATAAAAAGCCATGGGAGAAATTTAGTCGATGTAATTTTTTTAGAACGGTCTTAAAGTTTATGGTATCGAATGCTTTCGAGAAGTCTGCTAAAAGCATAAGGGTAAGTTCTCCTTTTTTCATAGCGCTCTTAATATCGTCTCTCATAGCCATCAAGATCGTGGCAGTAGAATGGCCCTTTCTAAAACCAGACATATTATCGTTAAGACAGTTGTCGATAAAAGGCAACTGCTGTTTGAGGACGAGTCTTTCATATATCTTGGATAAGACAGGTAGGATTGCGATAGGTCTAAAATCATCATGGGTCTTTGGAGTTTCCGTTTTAGGAATGGAAGATATTCTTGAGATCTTCCAAGCAGAGGGAAATGAGTTAGCATCAATACAGGAGTTTATAATGTGTGTCAGAGGAGCTGCGATTATATCAGCAACTGGTTTAATGTACTTTGATGGAATTTGATCAGGACCTGTCGAACTATCATTACGAAGATTATGCAATTCTTTTAATACTTCTGCTTGGCTGACCTTATTCAAACTGAAACTTTGCTCAGTGGAAATAGGCAAAGAGTCAATGTAAGCGTAGAGATCGTTATTGCTAACGTTATTCGTGTAGCCCAGTGTCCGCTGAACAGTACAAGCAAAATGCAAATTCAATTCGTTTGGGTCATGTCGAAGTGGCTGCGAAGGGGGGTTTAAAATAGAATGAATTACTTTCCAGATCTTTTTGGAGTTTTTGGAGGATAAGACTGTTTGGTAGAAGGATCGTTTAGCCGCCTTGATCTTGGTTTTTAGACTGTTACGAACCTTTCTGAAAGCATTCCATATACTGTCAAGAGAGGTCTTGTGTGCTTCAAAGCGCAATTTATTGCGTTGAATTTGGAGAGCTTGTATATCACCGGTTTTGAGCCACGGACATGGGGGACGAGTGACTTTTATTCGCTTTATTGGCGCGTGACGATCAATGCAGTCTTGGATTAGAGTGTTAAATGACTCAAGCATATCTTCAGGATCGCTGAAGGCATAGATTGCACTGAATGGCAGTGAGGAAACGTCAGTGTAGTATGCTGCCATGTCTACGTTTTTTTCGTCACGAATTATTTTGTATCGTGGCTGAAAACGGGAGGTGCGGACATTTAGGCAAACGTAAGGGGCATCGTGGTCGCTGACAGAAGGACAGGGTAAAACGTTCGAGTAAGAAACACAGCGAGGCTTATTAGAAATAACGTGATCAATTAAAGTTTTTGAGGATTGTGTAATTCTAGTTGGTGTGGTAATATGTTGGTGCAGATGACAGCAGACTGTAATCCCGCGCGGGAGCGGGATGCAGTCTGCGAGCAGACTATCTGGAACATTGATATGTAAAATTTCTATCAATCTTAAAAAACACAATTTTATTTTCTAAAGGAGAACACTCCTGAGAATGTGGATATAAAAAAGAAAGTTTTTGTGAATCTTGATAATCTTGTGAAGAATGACGACACAATTCTTGCAAGTTCTACATCTTGTATCATACCTTCACGTTTCACAGAAACACTCAAGCATCGCAAACAATGTATCGTCGCTCATCCGGTAAGCTGAAAATTTGAACTTAATATAGATCTTTTTGAAGTTTATTTTTAAGACAGTGTCTTTGGATATTCCAGACTGGAAACTTGTCTTTGAACTAAGTTGTTTTCATTCAACTCCTGGCAATTAATATTATTATTGATACAATGTACTCCAATACACTCTCGTATTTTTACAAAAATTAGATGAGAATTAAATTGACAGAACGTTTCCTTGCTTTTCTGGGCTGCAAGAACTTGAATACATAATTAGCGCATGCCTCTAATTTATGCATGAATACTTGACTAAGTTGACTTGATTTGCTGGTGGAGGTAATCCAGTCAGTGCCTTTAGTTTAATTTTGTCTCAGGCCAGATGATTGTACTTGTACAGGGAAAAGCTAGAAACAGTTTTTTCAAAACTTCAGGTGAATCCTCCACATTATGTTCCGCTGGTTGAGATAGTGCCGGCACCCTGGACTGAGAGCTCGGTTGTTGAAAGAACCAGAGCAATTATGAAAGATATTGGTCAGGCACCTGTCACATTGAATAAAGAAGTGAATGGATTTTTACTGAACAGAATACAGTATGCTATTATTATGGAGGGATGGCGATTGGTTGAGGTATGGTGCGTTCATATCTTGATTAAATTTTGGAACTGTTTTACTTCTGAGCGCCCTAGGCAGACTAGAATATCTGTGTAAACACTAGTGTGCCAAAACAGGGGTCAATATAGTAGAATCAAAACTGTAAAGTTTTGAAAACAACAGCAGCTTGGCGTGTACGCACCTACGTACCTATTTTTATGTTTGTTTTGCAGGATGGTGTATGTTCTCCAGAGGATGTGGACACGGTTATGAGCAAAGGACTGGGATTGAGATACTCGTTCATGGGACCATTTGAAACAATGCACATGAACGCTGGAGGTCAGTGGGTCTCAAGACATTTCAGGGCAGTAGGTGATGGTCCAGAGATCACTGTTGACACTCGTGGAGCTGGCAAATGGGCAATTCCAGCTATTTGAAATTCTGCTATTTGAAATCCCAGAACTTCGTTTTCAAATGGCAGAACTCCCTTTTGAAATGCCAAAACTCCGTTTTTAAATCCCAGAACTCCGTTTTCAAATGCCAGATCTCCATTTTCAAATGCCAGATCTCCATTTTCAAGTGCCAGTCTCCATTTTCAAATGCCAGATCTCCGGCATTTTCAAATGGCAGAAGTTACGGGCCTTAACAAATTTTTGCACGGATTTCAGGAATTTTGGACTACTGTGAGAAATATGGCAGTAATATTGAGAAGATATGTGAAGAGCAAGGTGAATCTAGACAGCTGCATGATTCAAACACTGCTCAGGTCGTTCATGACGCCATGTGTAACGCAAGTGTCCCTGTTGAGAAACTTGAAGAACGCAGAACGTGGAGAGACAAGCGCTTGGCAGCATTAGCAGTACATCAAGCTGGCCAGGAGGACTGAGAATTAGTAGGAATTTAAATATGGCTTTGATTAATATTAACAATTCTAAATCACCTTTGTATGGCAATTAATATACTAGTGATTTTTATTCAAAACACCGTCATTCTTTAGTTTGCAAAGTACCGTTAAAACATGCGTATAGGCTAGGAGTGTTTTATCATATTTAAAATGGGAGTACGCGATAGTATGTGTATGTTAGGACTTAAAAGAGCAATTTTTAAGTCATAACATACTAACATACGCAGCACGAGCATTTTATTTTTAGTTCTGGTAAAACCATAGAAATATTGGACTATTATGTCTATTATTTCTATGGGTAAAAGTAAAACACTGCTACAAGTGTTTTGAATAGCTTCAAACACGACTACAATAGATGCCGTCTCATTAGTATTCTTTATATAAAGAATACTAATTAGGATGGACTTTTATATAAAGAATACTAAAGGCTGCATTCCAGTTACGCGTTTTTCATACGTGCGTACACGCACGTAAAAGTTCAGTGAATTCACTTTACATCCTACTTATGAAATAACTAAATTTATAAAAGGACAGCATTCAGTTTCGTGTATGATTTAATGTGTATTTGTTAAGGTTATTTGCACTTATATGAAATTTTAAGCGAATTCAACTTTTACGTGCGTGTACGCACGTATGAAAAACGCGTAACTCGAATGCAGCCTTAATGAAGATGGGTTTTATCAGGTATAAAGCCTGTTCACGTGACATGTTATGGTTGACATGATTTGCCAATAAGCTTATTAATTATTAATGAGTGTTTTAAGCTGTTTTAATACACTCGAAAGGGCTTTTATATGGGAGTGATAAAGGGCGCGCGAAAATAAGGGTAGGAGGAATTTCAAGAGGGTGGGCGAAAGGCGAGAAAATGATATCATTAAAAAATGCCTCCAGACAACGTATCTTATAATATGCTGCTATACTGTGTGCAGTCTGGACTACTTGAAAATAATTAAAACACTTAACCCAGGCTTTTTTTCATTTATCCATCTATGGTGATTAGAGTTGCAAAATTAACTGACACTTATACGGGCCTATGGTTATGAATTTGGGAAATATTAGACCAATACACCAGATAAAAGAGTGGAATTCATACTATGGTCTATGGAATTCAATAAATCCATGGAAATTGCAATACGCAATTCCAGCTATCAACTAATTTTTTATCTAGACAAGAAAGACGAAATATATCATTATAGCTCAAACGAGCATCCTAAAATTAGTAAAATTGCAAAGTTTGGTTGTAATACTCAAAATTTGCTAATTTCACAGGGCTGTATTTTCTGTATTTTACAACATTTCGCAACCAAACTTTGCAATTTTACTAATTTTAGGATGCTCTTTTGAGCTATAATGATATATTTCATCTTTCTTGTCTAGATAGAAAATTAGTCGATATCTGGAGTTGTCTATTAGTATAAAATTTGCATTTCCATACTATTTTCAACCAAGATCATTTCCATATAAGTAAGGATTTGAAAAAAATGTCCGGTGATTGCTCAACATTTCCGGAACATATATATGTGCTAAATAACCCCAAACATTGGCTTAGGGAGAATATATAGGCTTATTCTCACCATTCGGTTTATTGAGCACATGGATTTAAACTAAACCTTGTCTAAAATAACAATTGGAATTTTTAAACCATATCGTTCTCTTAAAGCCCTTGAAATTAGCCGTTAGGAAATCCTAACTGACCGACTTTTACAATCACGGTGTTCATTTGGGCGCGGCTGTCGTGAATTACTCGTGATTGAATGGATCTATCCTGTATGTTGTATGTTGTATGTTGTATGTAGATCAGCCTTTACTGATTACAGAGCTATCCTGACACTCTATTACATTACATATTAAATAGTATATGGATCTATCTTGTCTTTTGTGTGTGCTGTATGGATCTATCTTGTCTTTTGTGTGCTGTATAGATCTATGTCTTTTGTGTGCTGTATGGATCTATCTTGTCTTTTGTGTGCTGTATAGATCTATGTCTTTTGTGTGCTGTATGGATCTATCTTGTCTTTTGTGTGTGCTGTATGGATCTTGTCTTTTGTGTGCTGTATGGATATATGTCTTTTGTGTGCTGTATGGCGGATTTATGTCTTTTGTGTGCTGTATGGATCTATCAGGCTTGTCTTTTGTGTGCTGTATGGATCTATCTTGTCTTTTGTGTGCTGTATGTTATATGTAAACAACGAGTTTGAGTGTTTCATCAGGGGATCCAAACACGAGAAAACTGTATGAAACACGAGCGCGAAGCGCGAGTGTTTTATTGTTTTCGAGTGTTTGGGCCCCTGATGAAACACGAGAAACGAGTTGTTTACACAACATCTCAAACGAAAACATTTCATTGGCTTATATATATTATTATAGTATATTGTTGTGGTTTGACTTGAATTTGTAATTAGGATCTCAGTTATTAGATGAAAACCGTTTTTCATCTAACAACAGTGATGGTATATGATTTTTAGCGTGTTTCCTTGCGGTATCCAACCTCAATCATGTGACGAATTAGGGTGAGTTCATTCGCTAATTTGCTCATGAATTATTAATGAGTTTGAGATGGATCTATCAGGCTTGTCTTTTGTGTGCTGTATGGATCTATGTCTTTTGTGTGCTGTATGGAAATTAGTCTTTACTGAGAGATATCTCGACTGAGAGATATCTCGACTGAGAGATATCTTGGCTGAGAGATATCTCGACTGAGAGATATCTCGACTGAGAGATATCAGAGATATCTCGACTGAGAGATATCTCGACTGAGAGATATCTTGGCTGAGAGATATCTCGACTGAGAGATATCTCGACTGAGAGATATCTCGACTGAGAGATATCTCGACTGAGAGATATCTCGACTGAGAGATATCTCGACTGAGAGATATCTCGACTGAGAGATATCTCGACTGAGAGATATCTCGGCTGAGAGATATCTCGACTGAGAGATATCTCGACTGAGAGATATCTCGACTGAGAGATATCTCGACTGAGAGATATCTCGACTGAGAGATATCTCGACTGAGAGATATCTCGACTGAGAGATATCTCGACTGAGAGATATCTCGACTGAGAGATATCTTGGCTAGACACTCTCTTACATCCGTCACCTTGACAGTCGCGACAACCTTAGAAAGGGAAACCAGATTATAAAATAATGTGCTGCAACTATCATCTTCATTTACAAAATGCGCTGCCCTTTGAAGTTCTCTCACAACGTTTGAAAAAAAGGGACTACAAACAGCTTTACAAAAAGGAACAACAGACAGCTTTACCTTGGAATGAATCATAAGCTTTGTTTTTAACATCATTTTGGCATTGTGATTATTCGTGAGAGGGATAGTCATTATCAGCACTTTATTTTAACCACAGACAAGTGATCGAAGGGCCTTGAGAGGTTAATAGAATAATCCGATAATGTCGGTGTCTGAAGACCATTTGTTCTAGTTCCTTAAGACTAAGCCTGTTTTCAACTGGGCGAATATTTTCACGCAAATTGATTTTCTTTCCTTTTTCGAGATATCCCACCCGGACTAGTAACTCCAACGAAGTCTGGTCCATATAAAGCAACTATTAAGTAGTTTATGTAGCCACCTTGATTGAATGCTTACAATGCCTCCTGATTATTATTTCATTACATGCAGTTACGTATGAGGAAAGCGACTCTGCCAAACAGTGCGGCTTTTCTCGGGTTTCTCCATTGCTAACACTGAACCGATAAGGAATGGAACCTTTCCGGATCTCATTTGGGTCACTGAAAACTGATAGAACTATTTAGTATAAATAAACTTAGTTTAGCTTAGGTTTCCTCCTTGCAGTATAAACAGTTAGTTTAGTTTAGTTTAAGCCCAAAATTCTTCATTTCCAAAACTCTTATGCTCCTTTGATCAGTATGAATATGTTTTTTTTTACATTTTTATAGTGATTGTAAAGTATCTTGGCATCATTTTTGAACAGTTGATGGAAATTCCTTCAAAGTAAATGTGAGTCACTCCTTATTAATTTAACCATAGTTTGTGTGGTATTCCCTTGAAACTGCGACATAATATATGATTTAACCAATGACAGTTCATCATCCGCTGTCCATCATGTTGGGAGGCGCATGCGTTTCCTGGATTAAAGATAAGTTTATTTTTTTATCGAACCAAAAATGTAAATCTTGCACCAGAAATTGATCAGGAAATTAGCATTTACCCTCATCCTTGCCCCTTGGATTGAATGTTTTAAAAGTTAAAATATTCAGTTATAACAATTAGCATAAATCGCGTGATTGCGAACTTGCTATAAAAGGTCTCTGGACATTTATTCAGCAGAATTTGTAGGATAAAGTCAGTTCAGAAATAGTTCAGATTTGACTTCCACTACCTTGTACACATTTGATTGGTTAATCTGGTAGATTAAATGCATTTGCCTGGTTAATCTGGTAGATTAAATGCATTTGATTGGTTGATCTGGTAGATTAAACGCATTTGATTGGTTAATGATATGTAGTGGAAGTCAAAATCTTATTAACATCTCTAGTGTCTGTTGGTGGGAACATGGTTTAAAATAATGAGTTTAGTTATGGGTTAAAATTCCATCACGATGAAGTAGCTTCCTCTTTGGCAAGTAACGAAGAATATGTAACCGCTGCAAAGTGCACGCCGCCGTGTTAAAAAGATTATAAACTCTGAAGGGACGAAAATTTCAAGCCAATTAATTTATGTTATCCACTTAACCACAGCTGTGGGTCCATCTCCGTTATACAAACGTCCTGTTTGTACGTTATCAACAAACGTCCTGAACTTTTCACACTAGAACGGGCGTTTAATTCAACCGGCGTCATCGTATGATAAGATTTCTGATTTCGTAATGATATGCTGTGAGTGTGAGATTTGTTTCCCGAAGGTCAAGGCAGCCTGTGTACCTTCAAACGTAACAACCAACGTAATTTAGGTAATGATTTTTTAATCTGGTTGTCTAGAAGTGGTATTATTTTAATACCTCTAGATATAGATTTTTCTTGCTAAGATGAAACCACACCACTATGCTTTTCAGGACAATGTTAACTTTTTTCATTATATTGTATATTTATTAATTTAACAGTTAACTTGAATTTATTTTCATTTTGCGTAATTCTTGTTAATAATAACATTTTTATAATGTTGATTTTACTAATCTCACAGGATTGCAAAGCAATTGATAAATAAATAAGTAAAAAATGAATAAACAAATACACGCAGAATTAGTCACAATCCTATTATGCCTACACATCGTATAGGCATAGTATAAGTCGAACCGGACGGCGATTTGATAAAAGAACTTAGTATCACAATGGACAACTTGCATGTTAGACTAAATTTTAATCTAAGTGAATAGAAGGGAATCAAACATCACAGCTAAAAAGAACATAATGAAATTAGTAAAACTGCAAAATTTGGTTGCGAAATGTTGTAAAGCTTGGAAAATATAGCCTTGCAAAGCTTGCAAATTTTGTATATGTTTGTATTACGTGCGGTTACATGTGTTTGTATTACGTAATACAAACATATACAAAATATGCAAATTTCGCAAGGCTATATTTTCCGCATTTTACAACACTTCGTAACCAAATTTTGCAATTTTACTAATTTTAAGTTCTTTACGGGAATTTACATTATTTGCCTAGATAAAAAATTAGTCTAACATGCAAGTTGTCTATTGACGTGATTGTTCTGTAATCTGTGACCAGGGATTCCAATGTATCAATCATAAAGCGGGAATATGTAAACAGCCTTTTAGATTGCTTATAAATTAAGTACACGATATTATAGAATTGTAATTTTCACTCGACAAAGGAATGAAAAGCATTTACAGCTCCAGGGCTTTTTCTCGAAAGTTGACGCGGTTAAAATGATACATCAGTTTCTTTTATTTGTTTTCAACTAAAAATTGTCTCATTGTTCTCTGCAGATAATTACTAAATTACCTAATTTCCGTAGCGCATCGATACGGTATCCCTTTTTGGTATACATTTTGTATATCATAATTTCCTAAAATGAAAAATATTATAGGAGATCATTGCGATTGAATAGACTCTCTCTCTGTTCATGCACTTTTTGAAGATAATGAGAAAATATTTCTACCAAAAATATTTCACTAATGGACATTTGCATTATAGACTAAATTTTGATCTAGACAAAAATTTCATCACAGCTTGAAAGAGCATCACAAAATTAGTAATATTCAAAGTTTCGTTGCGAAATGTTGTAAAATGTGGACAATATAGCCTTGCGAAGTTTGCCGTTTTTCAATCATTTTGTATTACGCACGGGAAATTAACAGCCCAATCGGATGTTGGCGCATCAATTTCCCGTTTGTAATACAAAATGACTGAAAATTGCAAATTTCTCAGGGCTATATTATCCGCATTTTACAACATTTCGCAACGAAACTTTGGAATATAGTAAATTTTGTGATGCTCTTTCAAGGATTTTTGTCTAGATCAAAATTTAGTCTATATAATGCAAATTGTCCATTGCTTCAGTGGCAGAAACCTTTCGTGTCCAGTGTTTTGTACAAATATCGTTTACCATGAGTCCCATTTTTTGCGTTTTCTCTAAAACCGCGCAAAATATATGCAAATTTTGACATGAGATTACGCTTTCTAGTTTATCTTCTGAGAAGATCAATTTATTAAATTGTCTCAGGCTTTTCTTTGCCAGAAGCTGTTGAAATGCTTTCACTACAAATCGTCAGGTTTAAACCGAAATTCTCAAGAGTCAAGTACCTAGCATTAAGGTTTCAAGAGGTGTTTTACCCCCAATAGTCAATATTGTCTTTTTGTAAATCTTCGTCATCCTCGTTCTTTTTAATACTATAAGCCTAGAAGCGCGCAGATTTTGAGAGCTTAGTTTTGTTTAAGTAAACAAAGAGATATCTTGCCGTGTTTATGAGCTTTTCTCTGAGGAGTTCCTGACCGTAAAATAATTCAACGGTCTTGGAGTGTTTATTTTATTCGAATGAATGGCAAGTGGACCCAGCATGGACTATTGATGAACGAGAGTTCTTGAAAAACAGTTTTCAAAGGCGCGCGGTAAGGTTGAGAGTTCGCAGTTAATGCGCTGAAATTGGATTAGGGCTCGGTTCGCTTCGTTTGTGGCCATGTTTGGAGGGGTATTGATGAGTTATGCATGACGACGTTGTTCTCGTGTAAAGTGCACGCAGAACCGAGAGCCGAGACAAAGTAATCACAAACGGAATGTATCGGTGCCTTCAAAGACAAGCACGGAAACATCAAACGTGCTCTTGTGAAAACATTCTCGAGTGAGCTTTACATAAAAGGCAAACGGCCTAAACATATCGTTCAGTCTTGCCTCACACGCCCAAGCTTACATTTGGAAAGTTAACTAGTATAACGAAGATCCAGTCTTGGTACACAATGAAACTTGTAAGTTACATTCAATCTTCTTTCATAATCTTCTTCATAATCTAATTTTTGTTTCTTCATGCATGTACAATTCTTGAAAAAAGCAGTTAGTTTTCAGTCAACAGTAATCTTATACTGCTTCTTGTTTCTCGGTGAGATTCTCGTTAGCATGTACGCCGTTTACAAACCGTAGGCCTACGTAACTGTAGTTCTGAAACAGTCAACCCTGAAATATATGTGTTCTTTGTGGCAGATGCTCACGCCTGTAGCCGTAAACACCATGTGTTTTATTAGTTTAATTGTCGTGTAAAGCTGTATCATTGACATACGTCAATTGTAAATTGATTTCTTTGTTTGAGAACTATCGTATAATAGCGTATATAGAATAGTGTCTTGCGGGAAATGACTTCAGCAACGTTATTCTTCATCATGAATGACTACAACGGGATGGTCGAAATGTTGAATAAAAATGATAACCTTCTTTGGGGTGTCCTATTTTTAACCGGCGAACGTATAGTTTCGTGTGCAACCGCACAACCTCGCGAGCCTTCGCGGCAGTTGCATTTGTATGAGAAATGAGAAATTAGCATAAAGGACGCATATTTAGTAATGTAAATATCAGATGTCACATTTGCGAACGTATCGCTTCTAGCGTAAAAGGTCGAACATATGCCATATGGTAAATTATTCATGTGCCACTTCGTTTATTAATGTCATTTTAAAACCGCTTTATCCATTGAATCCCTTGCTAGTAATTTTCAACTAATGATCATAATTGATTAAAGATTGGCAAAAATTTCTTTAATTGCGGAAAGAATCTATTTCTGCTTCAATTGATTCAAAATATTAATTTTCAGCTAAATAATGCAATTGTTTTTTTTAATGAGAGTAAGATTTATGTAACTCATGCAGCGCTCATTAAGAGCGGTTATTTTTCAGTGTAGAGATTTATTTTTTATCATGATAAAATTCCTTTATTTCTAACACTTGTATATAACATGTAACTTAACAATTAAGAAAAAACACAAACAAATGGTGTTTATACAGATAACTAAATTTATTTTCAATGCTAAATAGCAAAAACCTATTATTGTCAAATAATGGCCTCTACATGCACCAATGCGCTATCCTTCTGGCGAGAGCCACACGGACACAAAGGATAGCAGATCGAAGAAGGCCGCAAACGAACTTCGTTCGAAGCCAATTTGTCACAATACTGTTGGACCACAGTTAATAGACTAGGAGCGCGTTTCTCAGCTATATCAATGTTGACAACACTGACAGAAACTTATCAGTTTCACGGCTACCACCTCTATATGGAGTGAACAGAGATTTATTAGAGAATTAGAGAATATTTGCATACAGGAGCACTGAAATCTTGTATGCTGATGTCAGGTAAAGAAACACTCGCCGGCACTGCCGGATTTCAAACATCGTCCAGCTATTACAAAGTTAAGGATATATCAGCTCATAGACATAGACATAGTCATAGATTATACTCCGGTTGAAACTGGTCGATACAAAACGAGATTGGGGACGAACGACACTTTCTATAATGTCATGCAGCAATACAAAGCTCGCCAATCTTAGAGTTAATTTTATAAATAATCTTTGTAGAATAAATTTGTTCTTTTCATTTAATTATCAAGATAGCTTACTTATAGTTATATAATGGCCATATGCAAGACAACGCAATTAGGGAGTGTTCATTATTTATACCCGGGGTTGATACCGAAGAGAAATGGGTTGGGTAAGCCATGTTTCTGGGGTATGAAGGGTTGGGTAAATATTTTTTGAACAAAGCCTATGGTTGGGAAAATTATTTTCAATACAAACCTTCAATTGAACAAAATATGAAAATCCTTTATTTAACAAAATGGGTCATTTCAGGAAATATCCATTCATTCCCCACAAAGAAAACTAAACTCCAACTCCCCATCCCCTCTGATTACAACAACGAGATATGGTAGGACTGCAGGAACTTGTAGGCTTGGGAACATAATATGAACTTGTGAAGGTACAAATGATTATATATTACATTCAGTTAGTGCACCAAATATGCATAGTACTGTTTATACTACAGTGGCCTAGCTTGTATAATAATATATATGTATATATGTAAAATACTTGTATAATTTTGAAATTGGGTTGTGTAAAATAAAAATCCAAGTCATGCAATAGTTGGGTATGGAAAAAAATTGTTGATCGAAAGGGTGGGTGGTTGTTTTTTTCTCTTTTTGATTAGTTTGTCTTCGGTACCAACCCCGGGTATAAATAATGAACACTCCCTAAATGGTCTTGAATGTAAGCTACCTTAAAGTGATCTGATGTTGTTGTACACTCAATGTACAGAACTCGCTACAAAGTTAAACATCGTTAGCTAGGTCATGGATGTTCTGGAATCATGTGAGCTGAGGTTACCATGGAATTGGAACATTCGCGAAACTAACACTATCATACAACCCGAATCTGCATACATTACAGACAACTTGGATACGTTCGTCATTTGCGCGTCTGAAGTAACGTCATATTTTCTTATCGTTACCAGCTGACCGCTATCTCTTTGCTGGTAATAGCGAAAACTGTCGTGACTCACGAAATGTTCTTATAACTTCGATCTTATCATAACTTTATCCTCACTAGTGCACCAAATATGCATAGTACTGTTTATACTATAGTGGCCTAGCTTGTATAATAATATATATGTATATATATAAAATACTTGTATAATTTTGAAATTGGGTTGGATAAAATAAAAATCCAAGTCATGCAATGGTTGGGTAGGGAAAAAAATGGTTGACCGAAAGGGTGGGTGGTTGTTTTTTTCTCTTTTCGATTAGTTCTCTTCGGTACCAATCCCGGGTATAAATAATGAACACCGGCCCTTATGACTCAACAAGAAAAACTTAAAACTTAATTTACGAAGAAAAATAATTATTAACCTTTCTGTCATTTCGCATATGCGCCAACACACATTGTCCAGATTCTTCTCAAGTTAAAACTTCTACTGTGATTTTTTCTCAACTCTCTTAACGCCATTTATTTTTAGAGGAAACATATTCATTTTTTCCATTTTTGCTTCCCCCATTTTGCTTCCCACGCCTAAAAAATGCATGGGAAAACTGTCATCTTTGTCTGCACATTTGCATATTCTACGCAAATTTTAATTAAAGACAAAACTGAACCGAATTTGTACTGGATAGTTCTATCAGTTCCAAACTATTCTGATAATTTGATGGTTTTACAAAATTGGCAGTTTTCGGCAAGTTTCTCTAAAGGCAAGATCGTCAAGCAGACGGTGATCAACTGAGACAAAAAGGCAAGAGAAAAAAAACAATATTTTTTTCTTTCCGATATTAAACTGCCTTGTTTGATCACGATGTTTCTGTTGTTTATCAGTTTACTTTAATACAATTCAATTAAGATGTCGCGGCAGTTAGCGGCGGCAGGTTAAATTAAAAGAGTACATAGATATAATACACCGCCCACCGGACTTGCACCAACGTTAGAAAACGAAGTAGCCACACACACAACACCACGCATAGAGTTCTGAAAAAAAAACTATAAGGTCTCTTCATAATTCTAGTATAGCGAGGTTTTATAGGTAAGAGGTTATACACTGTGGAAGGCCACACATGGATAATTTTATTTAGCCAGTCTTCAACGTTCCTTCTGTTGACAGTTTGTGTCAAGTAAATGAAGAACGGCGAGCTTCTGCTAGAGCGGTAGCCGTATTAACATAGTGAATAGTGTATTGGATTCTTTGCCGCAGCAAATTATGCTAATTAGAAAGTGCGTGCTTTGCGCAAAAGCGTAACAAGTAATTGCAATTACTTTGGGCAAAATGTTAAAATTTTATGTACATGTTCCCAAACCTATTATAAATGTTTGAGTCCATTGGCAGTTTTGCTTGGTTCAGTGCATGAAAATTAAGTCTGAACTGGGCCAAATCATATATTTATTGCTATACAATGTACGTTTGAACAATAATTTGCAAATTATATAATTACGTAATAACGTACGTGACATATGTTTACCGATATAGTGTACGATTAGAACCTATATGCCACTTATTTGTTTTCGAAATATACATTACGAAGCGTAAACATTGATTATCGTGCGTGAGTCAATATTGACTTGTTCATCAAAGCAAATATTAAGGTCAACCTCTGGTAATTGGGTCAACTTGCCGCACTTATCTGCCACTCGTGCCGCACTTGGGTAGAGATACTAAAACTGGACTCGATTGGACTGATCCCGATGTCTCAACCTGGATGTCCTTTGTAGGGTTTACTCTAAGGTTTGTGTTTGAACTAGCTGAAAAAGATATCTCAAACGTGGCGGTCCAGTGTTGTAGGTAGTATTCTACAATAAGCTGCCATCAGTGGTGTCTGGAGTCTCTGGACTACCTGAAAAAATATCTCAAATGTGGGGAGTTCAGACAGGTTGTATTCTACAGTTAGCTGTCATGGTTGGTGTCTGGGCTACCTGAAAAAGAGTAAAAAGTACGTCAGTTTGATGAACAAATAACTCCGATATCATAATGCATCATAACCCTTTCAAGCTGGGGACCTGACTTCTAAGACCAAGTCCCTGTTCTCTGCAATATTTTTTTATTACAAAATATTACAGGAAAAGATCAGCTGCCAAGGCCAAAAGCAACGTTCGAGGGAGGGCCTTTCATCGTTCTTCAGCCCTTCGCCGATTTTCATGGAATTCCATTTTTGGGAGTCCAAGTTGCTGTCCTACCTTTCTTTGGTAAATCGTTTCTCGCTGAGTAGGCACGCGTCTTTCCTCTGTCTTTATGGTATTAAGGATAATTATCCTCATTAACTTAGCATTGTCCTCTACTTGCCGCTAATTACATCTACAAACAGATTTCGCCGTCAAACGACGGGACGTCTCCCTTAATGAGCGTCGCACGCTTCGCGTTTAAAGCCAGTAGGAACTCGAGGCTTTTGCTAGTTGTGCGCGACATTTGCCGACTGTGGACTATTGGAGTCTTCGACTGTCTTGTGCAAGTCACTACGAGTGTGTATTTGTGTAAACGTGCTGGGTCATTTTTTCATCGTAAGAGGTTTAGCAAAGTTTCTGAAAGGTGTTATAACCATTGAAGTGCCCGCTTTGCAAAACGTGTTGGTGGCTTGTTTAAATTCTCCTGAAAATGGCAACAGGAAAGGTTTGTGGTGTTAGAAGATTTTGATTGTAAACTGTTTTAAAACGGCGTAATCTTCAGTAGATTTCTTTGAGATTGAAGCATTAACTAATTTTTTTAACCAGAATTGCTAGACAGCATTCGTCAGGAGATTAATGAATGGGCCTTCCCTCTTGTATAGCTTAGACAACAGTTTATCATACTATCGGGTCTGCAGTGTCATGTTTGGGATGCTTTGAGATGCTGTCCCATGTTTGAGATAACGTTTTTCTTTAAATATGTTATATATGATGGGCCTGACTGAGTTTTGACTGGGAAATAATTGAGCAATACTAGAAGCTTACCGACAAGGCCAAAGTGGTTTCACTCAAATCCACCACAACATTCCGTATTTGGCACCGTCTTCAACAATTGATATATCCGAAACATATTTACTAACACCTACGTGTAGTGTTCTTACCGAAACATTATTTTTACACTAATAAGTACTTCTCGGCACCTTTTGTTAGTTCCTAGGCTTACTCTAATTTTAGCTGTTTATCGTAATTTATATTGTAATCCTGTGAAAATGACGCTTTCCCCTTGTTTGAGTTTGGTATCAGTGGGTTAAACACTCGCTGGGTGTATGACGGTCAGAAAAATATAAATTTTTGCTTTCTCAAACAGCCAGTGCAGATGGAGACGATACATAATAGAATCGTTTTTACAAAAGTCTAGTTGACTAGTTGGGTCTCTATTCCAATATGGAATTGAAATTTGCTCCCTAGCTTTTCTGCAAATTATTTTATTTTCCGTCGGGAAATTGCAGAAACTGTTTTTTGCTTTGTCATGATTAGCCTGCGCTGCTGACGTTCGTCTTTAAGTTTTTGGTAAGTGCAAATTTACGGCGACTATATACGACTATGTTTCCTAGTGAGGATAAAGTTATAATAAGAACATTTCGTGAGTCACGACAGTTTTCGCTATTACCAGCAAAGAGATTGCGGTCAGCTGGTGACGATAAGAAAATATGACGTTACTTCAGACGCGCAAATGACGAACGTATCCAAGTTGTCTGTATGCAGATTCGGGTTGTATGATGTTAGTTTCGCGTTAGTATAATGTTCCAAATTCCATGCTAACCTCAGCACGGCAACGATACAGCTCACATGATTCCAGAACATCCATGACCTAACGATGTTTAACTTTGTAGCGAGTTCTGTACATTGAGTGTACAACAACATCAGATCACTTTAAGGTAGCTTACATTCAAGAACATTTAGGGAGTGTTCATTATTTATACCCAGGGTTGGTACCGAAGAGAAACTAATCGAAAAGAGAAAAAAACAACCACCCACCCTTTCGATCAACAATTTTTTTCCATACTCAACTATTGCATGACTTGGTTTTTATTTTACCCAATCCAATTTCAAAATTATACAAGTATTTTACATATATACATATATATTATTATACAAGCTAGGCCACTATAGTATAAACAGTACTATGCATATTTGGTGCACTAACTGAATGTAATATATAATCATTTGTACCTTCACAAGTTCATATTATGTTCCCAAGCCTACAAGTTCCTGCAGTCCTACCATATCTCGTTGTTGTAATCAGAGGGGATGGGGGAGTTGGAGTTTAGTTTTCTTTGTGGGGAATGAATGGATATTTCCTGGAATGACCCATTTTGTTAAATAAAGGATTTTCATATTTTGTTCAATTGAAGGTTTGTATTGAAAATAATTTACCCAACCATAGGCTTTGTTCAAAAAATATTTACCCAACCCTTCATACCCCAGAAAAATGTCTTACCCAACCCAAATCTCTTCGGTATCAACCCCAATCTCTTCGGTATCAAACACTCCCTTAAGATAGCTTACATTCAAGAACGTGTACTACTCCTGCATGATCTATAACCATACTCAGCAGTGAGTTCAATCTAAAGAACATCAGATCACTTCAAAATCATTATAGCCCAAATTCAAGAACATGTTGCCTCGGCATGATCTTAACCGGCTCAGCAGTGAGTTCTTTACATAGGTATAGTCCACATTGTATCAACTTTTTATTCTCATCCCGTAAATCTTTCTATTCTATTTAGACTTCATACTTTGTCCTGTTCGTGGTCATAATCTTATATGTGACAGCTGCTCCATTACCAGGCTCCGGCAATGATGCAGCGAAGGAGATTAAACGTTTACGATATAAAGTCAAGTATCTGACTGGAGAATTATTGAAATGTCAATTTGAAGACAAACTAGATTTACATATGCGACGTTTTCAAAATAAACATATCACTTGCAATGACGGAACAACAGCGGGGTAAGTCAATGAAAGTTGGTTTATCAAATACAAAAATAAATGGTTAATTAAGATGGTTGCAAGACCATCTCATAGTTAAGATTACAGGACACCCTTTTTGGCGTTTTGCGGAAAATCGCTACTGCGCGCTCAAAATCAGTCCTTAAATCGCGCGGTACCTTTACGCTTTTGAGTTGTGTTCCTGCTGGTCTTAAGATATATTTATGAAAATATTATTTTTATACAGTAAAATAGTTGTTCTAAAAAATTGTGTTCGGAAATTTTTTTATATTTCGTCATTCTGCTGATATGGCGATTTCTTTGACGACTGCAGTATATTTCTGAATCGTTTGTGTGAATTGCTCATTATTAAAATATCCAAAATTCGAACAAAGCCGAACAATATTTTGAATCTGACGTCTTTAGTTATGTCCTGTGAAAATTTGAGAAAAATTCGTTAAAACCCGCCGGAGAACAACTCGTTTAAAAGTCAGTAATTGCCGTAAAATGTTTCGGGAGAAAATTGAATTTGAATATTACATTTTCAATGTTTTTCTTATTGCAGCGAAATGTATTTTATTAAATAACTCTGCGAGTTTTCAACATTTTTCGTTCAAACTTGGTCAGCTAGTAGGACTATCTAACCTTAATGCAAAATCATTTCATTTTCATGACTTTGTCTTGTGGATTGTGATTATTGGTACTAATATGTACTACTGTTTCCAGGTATTACATTAAGAGATCATATGAAAGCAACAAATGGATCATTTACCTAGAAGGTTCGTTTTGTATTGTTTTGCAAACCAAACGATTTACTAAACTAACCTTATTTATACTGGACTAAATCCTTTCTAAATTGTTCCTCCTATAGGTCCAGAAGTACTTACGCCTGTATTCTAAAAGCTCACTCAAAGAGTAGAGGTTCAATCTTAGCTTCCCTTGAGTGTCAGTGCTGTTTTTGAATAGCTGGAGGGTTACTTTGAATAGCTGGAGAGGAGACTCACCCTCCAGCTATTTAAAAACAGCATTGGACACTCAAGGGAAGCTCAAATTGACTCCACTCTTTGATTTGAGTGTGAGTGACCTTTCAGAATACAGGCATTTGACTTGATAACTCTATCAGTTCTGAACTATTCTCTCTGTATATAGAGGTTCTCCAAGAGCCATTATAGAGGTTCAGCTAGATTTGACTTCCACTACCATTAAGGTAGTTTGATATATTCGATTAACCAATCATAATGCGTACTAAGCCAGTTAGAGGTAGTGGAAGTCAAATTTGAACCTCTTTATTATTGGAGCAGTGTCATACCTTTACTAATCTTAACTTTATTTACGCTGGATAGCTCTATCAGTTCTAAAATGTTCCCTCATCTCTTATTGATCCAGTATTACTTTCTTGAAGGTGGCTGGTACTGTTTTGATGACCTATCATGTGCACAACGCTTAAACACATCCGGAGTAAACAGTCTGACTTCATCCAGAAACTGGTTGTCGAAAAGGAGAGGTATAAGCAGATTGTTTAATATACAGGGTGTATCAAAATAAACGCAATTCATCTTTTGTGCTTAATAACTTTCGAAATACTATTTCTAGTTAAACGCTTTTAGGCTTACTTCAAAGCCTGTTCTTCTCTCTTTCAAACAAACTATTATCCTTGTCTCCAATGCTAGTAATAATTGCACAGGAAAAGATTTAGTAAAACCTATCATTTTTAGTTGCTGTTTAATTATGCAAGTTTAGTATGTTATTGTTTAGTCGGTTTAAATGTTAGAATTTTCTTCTTTAAACTTTAATGTTGTCGTCACTACATCTGGAAAACCACGTAAGAACAAATTAAAAGTATTTTAAAAGAGACCAGGTTGTTTGAAAATCCTAAACGAATGCTAAAATCGTCAAAACATTCTGGTGTCTGAGCCAGAGTGTCATCGAATTGCGATGTAATGTAAACAGAAATTATAGCAAGTTGATGTCAGTCAGCTTAGATGGTCCAAGCCAATAGTGGAAGAAAAGCCGTAATTATACTTATTGTTACAATCCATTTAATAAAATGCAACATTTTTTTGTTTTAATGAAAAAATCAGTTATTTTCATGAGAACGATTTGTTATTCCATCTCAATTTTTTTAATCTCCAATCGCAATAACGTAAAGTATTATTACCCGCGAACCAATGAGTCAAATTTAAGAAACAACCCACTGTTAGAAAGCTGAATGGCTACGCTTTAAAATGAATGTAAACTTTAAGGTTTTCGTCTATTATTTGTTTAGCAATTTACATTTCAGTCGAGGATTGCGCTTTTTTTGATACACCCTGTAGTTGTGATTATGGTCATTATGTATACGGGGATGAAGTGGAATTTTGGAATGAAGAATTCTTAAAAAGAGCTTGAAAATTCCGCCTCATCTCTTGAAAAGTATGTAAATGCAGTGTTGGGTTATCAGAAAACTATATCTGGCTGGTTTATTATAATGAACATTGCCAGTGTGGTCATTGTAACGAGTGATCCATCTTTATTTCCTGTCATTTTTAGGCTTCGGAATTTTGTCTCCAAGCGCTGTAGAAAATCCCACCTGGTATAACGCCAATCATGTGTAAGTTATTATTGATTGACTGTTTCCAATTATTTTAATTGTGTGATCATTATCGATTGAATTATCAATATCTGTTTCATGATTAATTTATCTATTGATCATATGATGTTTAGATTGGTGCCGTATTGTTCTAGTGATGCTTGGAGCGGAAATGTTTCTCGGTTCGAATCAGGAGGTTGGTGTCCTTTTTCAAAAACTTTGTCCTGACTACTTTCGGACCTTTCTTTCGGTAATTCACAAAAACACTCGCTAAATTCAGTTTCACCAAAAATAAAAAAAGTTGCGCGGTACTATACACTTTATAACAGGGGTTAGAGAGATTCTAGGTAAATCCACTATGAATTAAATCCATGTTCAGCAGGTTTAGCTGTATTCAGAGTATACTGTTGCATGTATTTTATTTGACTGATAACTAAATCTAGTTTGCCAAGTCGTACCGTACTTTTTATCAACTGTTATCTTGCATTCTTAGGGCAATTCTCGTTCATGGGATATAAAATTATCAACGAGGTTATACGAGAGCTTTTACCCCAAGGTTTGCTAGAAGCTAAACATCTTCTCATGGCTGGAAGCAGGTAATTGTCATTTTTTTGTACCCTGCAGGGAAGCAATGCATATAGGTAAACTTTTAAACAAGGAAACTTTAAAACTTGATTGTTCCCGCAGCAACAATGCCCAGTTCTCAGTCCAAATGACCAGTTTGAACTAAACGTTCTCGTTGAGTGCACAAATCAATATATTAAAGTTATAATCTCAATAGACCTTTCCCCTTATGAGTGAGATTTTGATCTAGACAAGCCTGGACAAAAATTTCACCACAGCTTGAAAGACCATCACAAAATTAGTAATATTCCGAAGTTTCGTTGCGAAATGTTGTAAAATGCGGATAATAAGCCTTGCGAAATTTGCCGTTTTTCAGTCATTTTGTATTACAAATGGGAAATTGATAGTTTGATCATCTGATTATCAATTTCCCTTTTGTAATGGAAAATGACTGAAAAACGGCAAACTTCGCAAGGCTATATTATCCGCATTTTACAACATTTCGCAACGAAACTTCGGAATATTACTAATTTTGTGATGCTCTTTCAAGCTGTGATGAAATTTTTGTCCAGGCATATCTAGATCAAAATTTCACTCATAAGGGGAAAAGTCTATTGGGAAAGGGGAAAGGTCTGTCTGTGCTGGATGGATAGGGACACAACTATACCTAAAAAATACAAGCAGAACGTAGTAGCGCCGGTGGCAAACGTCGAAGTTCAGGTAGTTGTATCCCTATCAATATCCACAGCTTTCATATTAAAGTTATATTGATAATACAGAAACATTATCTATCTCTGATTGTAGTTGCATTTGTTTAGTGTTGGTGGTATTGGTGTCATACTGAATATTGACCGTGTTGCTGAAATGATGTTTACCGCTGGTTCATCTTGCAAAGTTCGTGGTATCTCCGATTCAGGATGGTACCTTGAGAGAAAACCTGATTTAACCGGCAAATGTAAAAATAATCCAAAAAATTGTAACAAACCTTCTCAAGCAATCCAGAAAGGGATGGGGTAGGTGTACTTACTATATGATATATCTCGAACGTGGGGATCCAGTGTAGGTAGTATTCTACAATAAGCTGTTGTGGTTCGTGTCTGAACTACTTGAAAAAGATATCTCAAACGTGGTGGTCCAGTGTATAGGGTAGTATTCTACAATAAGCTGTTGTCGTTTGTGTCTGAACTACCTCAAAAAGATATCTCAAACGTGTTGGTCCAGTGTAGGTAGTATTCTACAATAAGCTGTTGTGGTTTGTGTCTGAACTACCTGAAAAAGATATCTCAATAAGCTGTTCAGTGTGGTTTGTGTCTGAACTACCTGAAAAAGATATATCGAATGTGGGGGTACAGTGTAGCTGGTATTTTACAATAAAATGTTTAGCAACTACTTGAACAAAACGCTTCTTTAAGTAAATCTCATCTCAAGGCATACCGTACAGATGTAATCATTTCATTTTGTGCATTCTCTGTTAAACGTCTTCTCCATTTGACCGTTCCAGGTACTGGAGTGGTGTTGTTCCAAGCGCTTGCGCAAAACAATTTCAAAACGAACCATGGCGATGTTATTTCGGTCACAATGTAAACCAAACTTTGAAAAGTAAGTGTTTTTACCTTCTTTTGAGTAAATTAATTTAAAAACTAATTAATTTAAAACCCAAAAGAAACGGATTTAAAGCAAAAAAGTATAACTAAGAAGCAAAACACATTGAATTCTAAATGAATTCACTTATCCTTACAATCCTTTTCCCTTTTTAGGTCCTTTATTTATTTTCCAATGGCAATATGATCCAACACAAATCATAGTTGACGATCCAACATCTCTACATGGAGACGTAACGTTTGGACAACATTTAATGGGCAAAGTAATGAAGTTAGCCTCGGACATGAAGAAATCTATAGATGGCCATAGGTATGTTTGCAGTAATATTTAGTTGATTTAACTGATATTTATACGACTTTTGCATCGTTTCTTTTCAACTTAAAATTTCACTTTATGTTATTCTAGCGCTGTGTTTTTTCCAGCTTGTTTGGCGCATTCCACTTTAACAAACAGGTAAATGGACCATTCCCCCAATTAACCAAAATTTTGATCTCAACAAGTCTAGACGAAATTCCATCAAAGCATGAAAGAGCATCACATCAAGTTTCGTTGCGAAATGTTGTAAAATGTTTTGCAATTTTCAGTCATTTTAGATTACAAACGGGAACTGGTTACCACTTTTCCAAAATTTTGATCTTAACTAGCCTAAACAAAAATTTCATCACAGCTTGAAAGAGCATCACAAAATTAGTAATATTCCATAGTTTCGTTGCAAAATGTTGTAAAATGCGGATAATATAGCCTTGCGAAAGTTTGTAATTTTCAGTCATTTTGTATTACGCACAGAAGTGGTAACCATTTCCCGTTTGTAATCTAAAATGACTGAAAATTGCAAATTTCGCAAGGCTATATTATCCGCATTTTACAACATTTTGCAACGAAACTTTGGAATATTACTAATTTTGTGATGCTCTTTCAAGCTGTGATGAACTGTTTGTCTAGACTTGTTGAGTTGAAAATTTTGGTTAATTAGGGAATAGGTCCATTGTCTTAAACTACATTACCGTTTCTACAACATGACGTATTAATCAGTTACTTTCCAGTTACGTCCGGTTGATTACCCCCCCACACGCAAACATTTGCGGTAGATCTTTACCACCCATCGACAAGTGCAAGACCTCTAAATAAACTGTATCTACTAGATGATTCAGGGTTCGAGAGAAAAAAATGACCTGCCAGTCTAAAATGTTTTGGGAGGTGAAATAAATTTTAGCCTGCCATTTTTATTCATCGAACTGCCAAAATTGGCGATGTCATGTCTCATCTCATATGAGTCATATTGTAAAAATCATGATATATGCATTTTTACTGTTTTTAAACTTGTCTATTTTACTACAGTAAAGTTGGATTTACATTTCAAATATAAACGTGTTTAGTGAACTAAATGATAATTTCACCTGCCATTTTTTTTTACTTTGGCAGTTCAAATTTGTTTTTGCCTGCCATTTCTAAAATATGGCCTACTTTTGGCCATCGGCAGTCCGCTATTTCGAGCCCTGGATGATTGATTACATTTTCAATAATTTATCTTAACTCAACACTTTCATTTCAGTGACTGGCTTTCAATCCAAGTGGAAGGCTACAATCTGGATCGTGCTATAAATTGTTGGATTATTAAAGACAGTCTCAAGCATTCAACATTATCACCTAACATGCCCTCGTCATACTGCAAGTCCGTTCTGATAGACGATTGCTATCTTCCTCAGTGTAACTCCCTCTGCCCCGCGCCACGCAATCCGTTCACCGGCGAACTGCTTGTGACACCAACACTTTCGCAGGGAGTGGCAGCCGGACAGAATAATAAAAGCCAGAAAACGAGCCTTGGTTAGAGAAAGAATGAATTTAGATATATAAAGTTATAGATGTATAAAGTTATTACCAAGCTAGTGTAGTTTATACACCATCAGTGCTAAAGTGTAAATTTTGTGCATCTTGTTTTGTCATACGATTTCTTTCTTTCAATCTAAAGGAAAGACGTTTCGCTAAAATAGGTGAAGTAAGGTCATACCGTAAACCTCTGACTATACAGGGTGTATAAAAAAACTGAACAGATTTGAAATTGCTCTCAATTTCGCAAAACAGCTATTAGTATCCAGTTTTTGATATATATATATATATAGTTTCTTTGGGTACTTATAATGTAGAATAATAAAAAAAATATTATCGAACTCAAATTTTATGAACCAGGGGGTGTGTCTTTTCCAACAAAGTAAAAATGGCTTGCGCACGAAATTTAAAAGCTCTAATCATATGTTGAGTTGATAGATGGAAAATTTGTTGGGCTTTTAATTACTGTACAAAATTTCAGACAATTTGCTTTAGTTTAAAAAATTAGCCTTTCGCATGCTTAATTAATGCATTTACCTAATTTGCATACTGCTGACATATGCAAATTAGGCAAAGGCATTAATTAGCATGCAAATAGCTGATATTTTAAGAAAATATGCGAGTTTGCGTGAATGGTTAAAGGGCTTAAACTGAAGCAAATTGTCTGAAATTGTGTGTACAGTAATTAAAAACCCAGCAGAGCTTCCATCCATTAACTTAAAATATGATTAAAGCTTCTAAATTTCGTGCGCTAGCCATTTTTAGTTTGTTGGAAAAGACACACACCCCTGGTTCATAAAATTTGAGTTCGAGAATTTTTTTTCATTTTTCTACATTATAAGTACCCAAAGAAGCTATATACATAAAAAAACTGGATACTAGTAGCTGTTTTTCGAAATTAAGAGCAATTTCAAATCTATACACCCTGTAAGCCCAGCCTGTCCAGAGTTTATAATCCTTCAGTAAGTACTGTTTCATACTGTTTCATGGGCTTATAGCCTTATACCATATAGAAATAATATCTATTATTTCTATGGCTTATACCACAACTTATACACACAGAGAGATTTATATTTGATGGCCTACATTCGGACGTTTACGGTATATACATAGTAAGGTCATAAAACTGTAAAATTTAAGAATTTACATTATATATTGTATAGTCACTGGTTACATATATATTATAATATATATACAACAGTTATTTAGAAAATTGATAAACTGTATATTACATAACTTAATCGACTGCTGAGCATACAAACGCAAGTCGATGTACATTTTTAACGTTGTATTATTTCAACGTCGACAAAAACTTCTGCCATTGATTATTTATTTAACCATAGTCATGGTCTCTCAAGCTTTCAATTTCCGTATTTTAATATAACCAAAAAATGTAAAATATATTGTTTTATATAACAAACGTTCTCAGTTCATTTTAAACTTTCGTAATGTGTAATAGAACGAAAGAAAGGATGAAAGAAACTAGAAAGTGTTGAGACACAGAATAGAGAAGCAAGAAAAACTTTCATAAATTTCTCATCAAATTTTCATCCAAATTCAACTGAAGTTTTATCGCTTTGCCCTTGACCTGAGGCCATTAGCTCCACAGATTTTTGTATTAAACTGTCCATTACTTTTTCAGTTATCGCACTGACACACAAAGTAACACACACACAAACACACTGCGTTACCATGCGCCATTGCGTGGAACCCTCGCATGCTTCACGAACTCTGATCGTCGTAGCCCGGCAGTGTTTCGGAATCCCCGAACATGCGTCTTTAATTCGCGCGTATTTTGAACGAGAAAGGCAAGATGTCTACGGAAAGAAAGATTGCTTATGTTTATTCGGACGAGTTTATTCATTATTGCAACCAATTACCAAAGGTTAAACAACGGGTACGTGGTACCAAGATAGATAACTCGCATTTTTGATATTTTAAATGAGCTAATAATGTGATGCAATGCTAAAATACAAGCCGTTTTGTCTGTGTTTTTTAGATGTCAGCGCTGTTAAGTGGCGTTAACTTTACCACCTGCTTATTGTTGTTACCTTGCCTTTTCTTTCTAGCTTTCCAACTTAGATCGTGCACTAATGTTTTATACATGTATTACTTGGCATTACTGGATATTTAAACGTCAATCTTTTCATTTAAGGCAAGCCTTGTTCATTCTTTAATAGAAGCATATGGCTTATTGAATTTAAATAATATCAGGTAATTTAAACTATTTGTTTTAGTTTATAATTGTGACTTATGCACAGTTAAAATATGAGATTTAAAACATACATTATGGCAGGCTGCCAAGCCATATGTAAAAGCAACCGTGTTGGTTAGGGTCAATGGTAGGTAACCTTAAGCCCTAACCCGCTGAGCCATTCCAATTAATGTCCCCTCCCTATGGACGAGAATTTCTCAGAGGGTTAAAAAAAGCCATTTCTGAGGAGTTATGGCCATTGGCATCCTTTCATAGCGGGATATTTTTTCTGAGGGATAAAGCAAAAATTTACAAATTTCTGAGGGGGTATGTGCGTCGGCCCTTTGATATTTTTTCTTGGGGGTTCAAATTTTACTGAACGGGGTGGGGGGGGGATTTTTTTTTAATGGCCCACTGAATATGCATGTAATAAATGGGTATAACTGGTGAGCCAATTGCCACTGTGGACAGTTTGAATCACAAAACCAATATTCAAATTTCAAGTATTGTCCAACCTGAAGCTGCTACGTTCAAAGAGCTGGCAAAGTTTCATTCCAAAGACTACATCACATGTCTACAGAAAGCTGACGATTGTGATGAGCATGACGTAGAAGAGTCCCTTGAGGAATTTGGTATAGGTATGTATGAAATGATTTTGAGCCATTTGTACACCATAGCTAGGTGGAAACTAAGCGATATCATGCAGCATACGGTGGACAACCATATGGGGTGTGCACCACCAAAAATATTGTTCACCCCCTCAGAAAGCCCCCCCCCCACCTACAGAAATTTGCAACCCCACCCCCTGCAGAAATTTAAAGACCCTCAGATGCCTCCTGCAGCTTCCTTGTTGGTGCTATGCACCCCCAGCCTAGCTCCCCTCCTCCCCCTCCATTTTTGGCACCCCCCAGAGCAAAATCTGTCTCTATGGCCAACCTCATAAATGTTAATACTACATAGTATCCATACTCATAACTTTAACATAATACCGGTATTTCCAATTGCTGACTGACACTCAGGCTATGCTTTATCATATAGTTAGGCGTAAAAAAAAACCCTGTGGTTCCGGTTCCTGACCGACCCTATTTTTTCTGCCGACCCTATTATTTTTTCAATGCGATTGACTGTGCGACCCTATTTTCTCCGGGTGGTTTTGGGCTGCTGCCAAAATGGCGTCTGTTGTCACATTAATTATATTGAAAAAACCATGAAAAAAATATTAAAAAAAAAACTATGTCCGACCTACCGACCCTTTTTTTACGCCTTTTAATGTTATTCCAGGTTATGATTGTCCAGCATTTGAAGATTTCTACAAATGTCTTACAATGGTTGCAGGAGGCACATTGAAAGCTGTTGAATGTTTGGACAATAAGTCGCATTCGATTGCTATTAACTGGTGTGGAGGCTGGCATCATGCACACAGGTAATACATCACATGCAAATAATATTGAACGATCTGTGCCAGTGTAGCTTGTGCCAATAATAAGAAAAATTTGGATTGATGGGGATAGGCTTTTTGCCAGAAGGGCATCCAGGCGTCCTGGGACATCCCTAGAACAAAAAATGGACACCCATTCTGGGGGAAAAGGGAAATTATTTTCAATTATTTCCCTAAGTAAATTAATATATCTGAAACGAAATAGCTTCAATAATTCATTATTATTATACATTTGACATTTTGATCAATATTTTGATGGTTATATACCTGGCTGAATGAAAATGTCGTACATGTAGTTTACTTAAAAGTAAAGAAGCATAGCGGCACAAACTCACAAAGCCAAGTGTGTTTGAAAAATTTCAAACAAGCTTGGAACAGATACTGATATTAAGTAATGTAAACTTCAAAGGTTTTCCAGAGGAACATTTTCTCAAACCCCCCCCCCCCCCGCTAAAAGCCTGGATGGGGATATAACTATCTGAAAAATACAAGGAGAACTTCAACGTTTTGTGCAAAGACACTTCGTCGGACCTTTGCTTGAAATGTTAAAGTTATATATTTGTATCGAAGGAACTAGACTCAGTTCCGAAATATCACATTTCTAATTGTTTCTAATTCAATTTGATAGGTACAGGGTCATGTTTCGAAGTTGGAGAAGGCAAGGGCAAAAACCACAGTCTCAATATTCCCTTATTGGATGGAGTGAATGATAAACTATTTGCTGAACTTGTAAAATTGTAAGAAATTAATTGGCATTTTAACTATTCAATAAGCTAAAGAAAGTAACTTGCTTTTATTGTTATGACATATCTTGATTCTCTCTTTAGAGTGGTCAAGGAGGTCAACAGTTATTTCCAACCTGATGCAATTGTATGTCAATGTGGTGTTGATGGCCTGGCTGGTGATCCAATGAATTCTTTCAATCTCACACAATATGGTCTAGGAGCTTCTGTTCACTATATTTCATCACTTGAGAAACCACTTTTGTTGCTGGGTGGAGGTAAGAATGATGACATTGTCAGGATACTGCAAATATCGAACCCTGATTATGGTTGTGCTTAGTGGAATGTGCCAAATAAATTGACTAGAATAGCAGACTTTAGCAGTAGGGGAACCAAGGGCAGTTTGATAAATTTGTGATACCTGTATGTAGCAAAACTAATTACCTTTGATGGAAACCCTAGGTGGTTATAACTTTCCTAATGCAGCAAGATGTTGGACATATATAACTGCCATGGTACTTGGAAAGAAATTACCTGAAGATATACCAGATCATGAGGTGTGTATCTACGTTTCATATTTTGTATTCCTTTTTGTTTTCATATGATTGTAATGCATTATTTCTCTGATTTTTTTCAGTTCTTCCTCAAATATGGTCCTGATTACAGCCTTGACATCACACCTCTTCATTACAGAGAAAACAAAAATTCAGATCGTTATTTAAAGAGACTGTTGTCTGTTCTAAAAGGTGCAATGAAAATGCTTTATTTAGCAACACTTATCTGGTGCAATATTTTATATATATATATATATATATATATATATATATATATATATTATATAATAGTTATGTTTTTGGCTGATCGTAATTGTGAAAACGGCGTATAATGCCGAATTTTGACTGTAGCTAACACCCTGGAATAGTACATATTAATTAGAAGTGCATGATTTGAAAATCCATTCACTTGAAATATCACATGAAAAACCTACCCAAAACTAGCTGAAGGCAGTGTGCTTCCATGGTTGTGAAATCTTGTTTCACACTCTGGCACATGGTAGCCCTTGTCTCCTGGTGCTCTCTCCTTTATGCCATTTCTACAATCCCAAGCTGAAAAGGTTTAAATATCCATAACCAACTTTTCATTTACAAATAGAGAGAGCATTGGCATAAAATAATTTTAATGATTTGTTATCAATTCAATTTCATACATTTCTTTTTCTGTCCCATACTTTTCTCCAAAGTTAATTCCCAAACTCTGGTAAAATCCTCTGTTTCATCATGTTCTAATGCACCTGGTGCCTGAGTTTTGGCTTGATCTTCTTTGGTTGTTTGTTCTACTGTTTACAAAAATATTATTTCAAAATGAAATTCCCAGTAGTTCCAATGAAATAGCACTAGGAGCCCTGTAGGATTTTAGTCTTGCAGGCAATACGCCCTGATGCTATTACTGGATTACCTTGCAACAGATTGGATGTCTTCAATTCATTTCTTTTTTTGTGTGATTGACTTTGGATTGGTTTGATCTGTTGAAGGCCATGAGGACATCTTATACTTGAGAACCAGTCCAGACCATTTCCACCTCTTTAAAACAGTACAAATAAAAGTTGCATGATTTCACAGTTACCTACACAAATCATGAACACACAAGTTAACTTACTTGGTTGAATGTACCTGACAGTCAGGATGGTCTAAAGCATTTCTAACATGAGGCTTCCAGCTAGGCTCTCCAATAGATTTGCTTCCAAATTCATTTTCGAAATATGCTCTTTGGAATGGTCGCTCCAAATCACATTCACTCCTATGCTTTGGGAGCATCAAGATCACAGAAACTAAGAACTTTTCTAGAATCAGAAGTAGTCAAAGTTCTATTATTTCATAACAATTCTGCAAATTATTACGATTTTCAATTCCTAACTGTTTCGATTTAAATTGGATGATCTCATTAAAGTATTAGAGAATTCAATTATACACATTAAGCAATTACACTAGTATATATAGTATCAGATTAAAAGGCTATTGCGTCCATGGTTACGTAAATCATACCAGGTTGTCAGTGGGAATATTTCCAATAAATTCAAATATATTTCATACAAAAAACAATCCACTAGATGTACAAGCTTTGGCTCGAATATCAAACCACGTTTATACGTTTACTCCTATCTTCTTTGTTCTAATTGTTCCACACGACAGGGATTCGACTTTTCTTTCCGCACGTGCAATTCTTAAGAAGCAACCTCGTGTTTTGGAATGCCAAACTCTTTCTGCTTCTATTGTAACCATAGAAACACTCGTGATCACGGGAAGTGAGAAATAATAACAGTTCATCGCGCTTTCTATACACTGACGCGAGTCGGTCACTTTAGCTTGAGATTGTCCGCATAGACCCGCAAGATGGCTGCAAGATCATTGATAGTGAAGACTAGTGGAAAATGTCAGTATTGAATCACGATGCATCATTTATACTCGAACATTTTGTGTGATCTTCCTCGTCTAAAGTAAGTAAAGTCATTTTTAGATTCTCTGACCGCGTTTCATGAGATTTTTGTATTTGTAGCAAAATAATATTCTAATTGGGTTCTATTTTCGTATACGTTTCTGCTTTCGTCACAAGTTGTCCATTTCACTTGTCAATTTCACTCAGATTTTGCATGCGCACGCATCCTCAACAACAAAAGTCATTTCCCCAGAGGGAAATATGGGGGCATTTAAACTATGGTTTATAAATCACTTTGAAATTTCCGTTTCACAGATTACGTGTCGATTGTATGGCTTGCGAATGTTTTAGGTTCCGTTTATTGTTTAACTTCTGATGCCTTTCACACAGGAATATTCGAGGCGAGATGGCACAAGCAGGGCCTTCGAATGGACTAACATCAAAACGTAAATCTACCACATCGAACGCGGAATTTAGTCGAGCAAAATTACCACGACGTGACTGTAGCGTTAAACGATGTTCTTTAAAACGCGCTGGCTATTTTCTGTTAGGACCAAGGCTTGGCAATTCTCCTGTTCGAAGTATAGTGCAATGTTTGGCAAAACGAGACGGTACTGATGACTTTTATTGCTTAAAAATGTTAACAGTCGAAGAGCCGGGTCGTGAAACACAGGACGATAAACAAGGCAAAATGTTGTTGCATACAGAATATTCATTACTTTCATTGCTACATAATCAAGACGGAGTCGTGCATCATCATGGCTTATTTCAAGACGAATTCACAGAGGAAATTTCCGATCGTGATTCGAGTGCTGGTAGAACTGAAAGGGTTAGAAAACGAGTGTGTCTCATTCTAGACTGTTTATGCCCTCATGAATTCAGCGACACCACGGCCGACTTGATTAATCTACAACATTATGTGATCAGAGAGAAAAAATTGAACGAAAAGGAAGCCATTTTAATATTCTCAGATATTGTTCGTGTTGTGGAGAGCTTACATTCGGTTAGTATGTTTATCCCTTCCATTTGTCCGGACATTTTTACATACCCCATTGCGTGATTTACTACAGGTCTAGCCACTAGTGTATTTTCTTGGGGCTCATCACTCATCACATGCCAGAGAACCGTTTTACCACTTGACTTTGACACTTATGCCATCATCTTGGTAGATTTTTGTAAAAAATAAAGGTTTTAATTCCTTTCGTAAACAATGATTGCTTTTGCAATTTCTTATTTGCATGTCTGGTGGAGGGATTTTTTAAGGATCAAAAGCTTTGATCATGCACACGTTCATCCATAGTATTGGATTTATACACAGGCTTTATATCATAGTGAATCACCAATAAACCAGCTTGTAGTCAATGCTCAATTGTCAATGCCATCAAAATATACTGACAAAAAGGTCATATATCTTGCTGTAGCCCCTTTCATGAGTGACCTTTGATCAGTTTTCACTTCATAAAACACTCACTTACCTCATACATTGAAGAGGGTCTACTTCCCCTTGCCATTCTGCATCCTGGTACATAGAATCGTATCACATTTAGACTTGCTAAATCACCGTTGTTGAACTTCCGGAATGATGTTGGTCTAACCCTTTTCGGTACAATTTGTATGCATGGGAAAGTGTTGATACTTATGGATTACGCCTAAACAGATCGGCTCATGGAAATGCATGTTACTCCTTTTATTTTTTCCAGAAAAATATTGTACACAGAGATCTAAAGTTGGGAAATATTGTATTAAATAGAAGGTATGCTTTATGCAATTTTAAATGCAAGTGTAAACATTTCTTGAAATTGTTATTGAGTTGCAATTTTGGAAATTTGTCTTGTCCTAATTATTATATATCTCTCTTTTCATGTAGTACTAAGAAGATTACAATTACAAACTTTTGCTTGGGAAAACATCTCATTCGGGAAGATGACTTGCTGAAGGACCAACGAGGAAGTCCGGCATACATTAGTCCGGATGTCCTGAGTGGTATGTAAAGAATTCAGTTGTTTTTCATTAATTTGTCTGCGGTTCTCCCCCAGAGGATTTTGATATTTTTGAAGCTCAATGACTGCATTTCTGGCACAAAAGAATTCAGCCAAAAATGCCCAAAATGACTGTTGTCGTACACGAAATTTGAGCTATACAGAGGCTCGTTTAAATCAAGTTCCTTCAAGTAATTTTACTTTTTATATTAACTTCGCCCTCCTCCTGGCCAAATTTTTTTCAGAGGTCTTTGCGAAAAATATGAGGTGACACGCACGTTAACAGCAAATTGGAACAACACTGGAATCATATAAACTTAATTTCCATACATTCATGAACTTTTCAGAAAGATCAAGGCTGCTGAATTCACCATACCTAGGTAAGGAACATATTGAAACTTAATGATTATAAATGTGTTTAGATGGTGAGTTTTTTCACACCATGTATATTCAGTTATTATCTTCAACAGGCTACATTTTTGTCAAAACAAGACATCAAGAATGCCAGTCCGTACAGTTTCACATTTGTAATCTTATTAAGCCTAACTGGCAAAACCATTGTTAAGCTTTTTATGGCTCTGGTATTTGATAAATTGCTGGCCAGCACTTTGTAGAAATTGACATAGTCATATAAACATTTTGTGTTCAATATTTCTCTAGTGACGGTCGTGTGACGAGTTCAACAACGAAATTGATTCAAACATTGTTAGTGTTGGATCCAAAGAAAAGGCTGACTGCTTCACAAGTTCTTTCTGTTCTGAGTGAAACCATGACAAAATGGTGAGTCGTGTTTACATCTCCAATACCTAGGATTATATTGGCATTGAGATGATTAGTGCAAGGGAATATGCTTCCATTTTTATGCATTGATCCTTCCAAATGATGTTTGTAGTGGGACTGTAGGTGGCACTGTCATTAGAACATCTGAAACATGCAGAGGTGGATCTATGGGGGGGGGGGGGTGCAGAGGGTACCCACCTCCCTCCGGAAAACCTCCACCCCACCTCATCTTTGGAAGTTTTCCAACTTCCAATAGATTCTTAAATATGTTTGTCCCAGCTTGTATTCTAAATTTTAGCTAAATTTTTGACATTTCTATGTATATATAGAATTAGCCACTAAATTTTTGTAATTTTAGCAACACGCAATTCAGTTCTGTAAACTGCAAAGTGTTTTTTTTTAGTAAAGACTATCTATCTATCTAACAAGCGAGACCAGATCCTCACCTGAGTCTTGAAAATATAACAATGAAAATGTTTGAATAGTTGTAATTTGCTGTAAGTTCCTAATTGTTCATGTCAATCCTCAGGTATCTCTCACGTACCATGCTATCCCCAGCACATGTTGTACCAGATATTGACGACCACGCTGAGGATGATGGGAGTGAGGAAAACAAAGAAGAACGACAGAAAGATTTTGAGCGGAAGTTAAATAACCTGGAAGGAGATTTTATGAAAAGGGATCAAGGGTACTATGTCCCGAGAATTGGCAACTTACCCACTGTGAGAAGGCTGGGGTATGATGCTAGAAAATTAACACCAAGTGAATTGCTCACTAAACGACACTTGTTTTAATGGTCAATTATCTTAATATTGAGTGAAGTTTGGCTGGTTTACCATTAGTTGATCATTGTTGATTAGAACTAAAAACTTGTAGGAGAATAGATGCTGGTTCATCAATAGTATTTAGATAGTAGACCTAGTGCCATTATTATTTGCTGATCTTAGTAATACAATGTAGACAGTTTTAGTGTTCATATTGAGTTCTTAAAAATGTTATTTTTGTACTGGAGGGTATAAAATTGTTCCAACTGTGGAACAGTTGTGTTCAGGCCAGGCCAACTAGCAAACATTGTTTGGAAACATTTTAGAATTTTAGTGTCTCCAAGAATATTTTGTGTTTTATTTTCAAAAACAAAGTTAATGTTTCCATCAGTTTCATTAGTTTGTGGACCATGGAAAAAAACTAAAAAAATTTTGGTTTTCCAAGTTTCCAATCTCTGCTAATATGCTACATATGTTTCTTTAAACCGATGTTTTCTAATTTGCTCATGTTGGGGAATATTTTTATGTATATGTATTGTCAATATGTATAGTTACCAGAAAATTGGTGATCACAGAATCTTGTACAGGAACATAAATAATATATTTAACATTGTATTGATGTAATAAAGATATGTATATATAAACTATGTTTTTGTTGTCTTCCAAGCCCGAGGCAAATCAAATAGACCCTTCCGGTAATTACGTCACGACTACTTTTTTCAACTTAGGGAGCGCTCATTATTTATGGTGAGGGGTTGCACCGAAGAGAAATGTCTTTCGTGGGGAAAATTTTGCTGACCCAACCATTAAAAAGTCAAACATTTGATTGCCCAACCTTGAAAATCAATTAAAAAATAAATACCCACCCCTGGCCAAAACTTTACAAAAGGATACCATTCAGTTGTCACACATGTCCTTTACCACTTCTGTGACATGAGTTTGATAACGGCTTGTGAAATTTCCTGCAGTCTAAAGATTCATATTGTCTGCACATGTAGTTTCTTTGGAGACATCATTTGTCTCCTGACAAATCGGAAAATATCAAGATAGTGATTCTGATAGATTCACATATTGTATTGACACACGACTGTTGACATTGCTTTTTAGTCTTCAATATTTTAGTAAGTCATGCTTTGGAATTGACAACATTTTTTTCTTACCCAACCCTTGAGTTGTTTTGTTTTTCATTTACCCAACCTTTTACTAACTCAAAATTTTGTTTACCCAACCATTTTCTCTTCGGTGCAACCCCCTGCCATAAATAGTGACCGCTCCCTTAGGACCACCTTAAATGGAATGGATTTTAAGTTTGTTTCTCACGGGCTGTGGTCAGAGGAGCAGAACATCTTTCTTCGACACATGCATAAAAAAGAATTTTGGATTTTGACTATTAAATGTGAAAATAACCTAAAACAAGAGGTGCCATGGCCCCTCAGCCTCGTTTTCGTGTTTAAGATTATTTTCACATTTAATAGTCAGAATCCAAAATTCTTTTTTATGCATGTGTTGACGAAGGATGTTCTGCTTCTCTGACTATAGCCCATGAGAAACAAACTTGAAATCTATTCCATTTAAGGTGGTCCTAAGTTGAAAACAGTGTAGTTGTGACGTAATTCCACATTTATTGGAGGGCCCCATCGAAAAACTCCTTGGAGATATGGGCTCCCTGCTTAAATGTTATAATAAAAAAATTTAAAAAAAAAATTACAGGAAACATCTATTGATCGAGTGTCTCTTGAAGTGGATAGAGCGTCTTGGGGTCTTTGAAGTGGATAGAGCGTCTTGGGGTCTGTTGTGTGAAGGCCGGATAAGCGCTATCCAGGCCCGGTAATATTTCCCTTCCTGGCAGCAAATTCCGAAAATAGAATTTTCCTGTTAAAACAGGCATACCTATATACAGTCGCAAACCACGGCTATAAGGTATGCTGGAAAGTTCTACTTTATAGCCACGGCAATAAAGCAATCCGCCGAGGCTATAACCTGACCTCCATAAGGTGAACACTGTAGAACTGATCCAGTATAAACTATAAAATCTATCCAGAGCTATCCAGTATAAATAAAGTCACTGTAACTGGTAAACAACTGGGGCCGGTTGTTCAAAGGTGGGTTCGTGCTAACCCTGGGTTAAAGTTTAACCTGTTGTTTTAGTTTGTGTATTTCTACACGTCTGTTTATTTCAAAACTTCACAGAAGTATAAACTCCTATCGATCCCAGACAAGATCTCTAAAGAAATATTTCCAAATTTATAGACAAGCCGTGAGGAAGTTTGCTTTGAATTTTTGGTGAACGTTAAACAACACAGCTTTCTATTCTTTTGGTCACGCTACATTATCCTGGAGGCGAAGATAAGAAAAACCTTGTATCCAATCTCGTACCTAGAGCTATGGGTACGAGATTGTCTTGTATCCAGAATAATTCTCCAATACCATTTTAATTTTCTCCCTCCACATATCCGATAACCTCGCAGGCCTGAAAAGAGCCTGAAAACGAGTTAACTGTACTATCCGTGGAACTTTCATAGATATTGCAGCTGACATCTGTTGACAAGCTGCAGACGAACGTGGGATAATCACTTGCTTTGAAACCTGCGAATTTTTCATATTTTCCATCATTGAACGCACCACGTCGCCGCATTGTCTCCCTTTCATGGACATCGTTTTCTCAACTTGAACTTTTCCAGATGCAAATACTTGAAATTTCTGAAAACTCTTTTACCTAATCTGCACGAAGATGAACTGCCAACACCTACACGGCTAAAATAGAAAAAGCATATCACGTGCACTTTGGATTACAGAAGAAAGCGTTCACAATCACGACCACAAAATATCTTAACGATGTTTGTTTTTAATATATCGCTGTATCGATCTACACTATTCCTTCGTAGATGCCCAGTAAGACTGATACCTTATTGATCCAGTGTTACTACAGGAGGAAATCTAGTGAACTAACTTTATACTGGATATAGTTATTTAATTATACTGGATAGCTCTATCAGTTCTAAGCTATTCTTCCTAGAGGTCCAGTTAAGGCTAGTTTCCACTCAGGAAAATTATCCGTGGATTGGAACGGACAAGAAAGTTTTTCTTTGTCTTGTGAGCTCTGGGTTGGAACTAATGATTTTAACACAAAGAAAAATTGTCCGTTCCAATCCACGGATAATTTTCCTGAGTGGAAACTAGCCTTAAGGATCATCCTTCATTGATCCAGTGTTTTTATACTACAGGAGGAAATCTAAACCAAACTAACTTTATTTATACTGGATAGCTCTATCAGTTCTAAGCTATTCTTCTTGGAGGTCCAGTTAAGGCTAGTTTCCACTCGAGAAAATTATCCGTGGATTGGAATGACAAGAAAATTTTTCTTTGTCTTGCGAGCTCTGGGTTGGAACTAATGACTTTAACACAAAGAAAAATTTTCTTGTAATACAAATGTTTTTGAAACCTAAAGTTCAATTATTTTGCACAAAAAATCTTTTAGGAATGTCATTTGTTCTTAATGTTGCCTAAGAGGTCGTATTCAGAAATTGAAATGTTGAAAGATTTTCTGTAAACATGAAATCAAATATGAGACCGAATCACTGTTTGTGTATATTCTCATTTGAAGTTCTGCCAATATAGTATTGACTATTGTCTACTAATATCTCCTTGTTTAACACGATTAAGATTTATGTTGTTCGTTTTCCATGAAAGTAACGCAACCTTCAAACGTAACAAGTTCTTAGGCGTAAGCACTTGTGACGGGCTTCAAATACTTGCCATTTCTGGCAGATTACTACTAGAATATCCCTTGGGCAGTAACGGTCTGACATTTCCAGATACGAGCTTTTTGTTAGAATGTACAGTTCTTCACTTTTGTACCTTTGCGCGAGTTCTAACGCGCAAACGACTTTCGTTGAGTCCAAATGTTTCGCGGTCATAAATGTATGCAAATGTTACAACACGCTCTTTGATTATCGATCCCGTCTACAATTCATGCCTATTTATTGCAAAAACATTTGGATGTTGTCTTTCGCTCTTGTCTAATTTATTTTACCTTTGAATTCTTCTCGATGTTTATACTTGAAAATGTACTAATTGTTACCTTGAAATCTTTAATTTTACCTTGTGGTTTCAGTGTTTGGACGGAGACAGTTAGGGATGCTTAGATTCCTCCATTTGTGTAAAATCATTTGGCGTTTGCCAAAATGAGAAATATGAGAATCCAAAACAAGTCTGTTCCCAGTGTTGGCCTTGCGAAATACTACACTTCAATCGAGCGGGAAGACGTTCGGGTTTCTGCTAGTCACGAATTTTAAACTCCTCCAAAACTAAGCCGCTAATTTAGGTCTTAATATGTGATTACAAGCAGTTGCAATTTAAGTCTAAATGTTGATAGCATAAGTAAAATAAGTAGAGCAGCAAAGGTCAATTTCAAAAGGTCTTTTCGCAGCGATCTTGTGAGGTCGTTATTATTCGAATTATTAATAGCCGAAGGAGCATGTGTGTGGTTCCTCAAAGCTTACGAGATCTTAATGACGGATCACTGATTTCCTTTTGTTTAACTGATTCATTAAAGTAAACTAACGTTTTTCTTCCGTTTGGAAGGGTTTGATTGATAATGTTTCAAAGAGTGGGAGCATTTCATTGACATTCTCCAAAATTTTTATTATGTTGATGCCTAACACGAAGTCGAAGAGGTATTTGTCTCCAAGAAATCATCTGGTTTTATTTAGAGTGGATTTCCTTTAACTAAACTAGTCTACCCTTTGTACACATTTGCTAATTGCATGCATGTCTGACTTGTTGAGTGAATACTTCAGTACAGCGCTGGCTAAATAGAAGTTAATCACACATGACAGACTTTTTATGGAACATTGTTTTGAATACAGCTGCCATGATGAAAATGTTGCAAATTAAGAATCACTCAATATTCGAATCCTGCTTTATAGAACGTTTCAGTTATTGAAAACTTGTGCTGACTGCCTGGAGATATCTAAAATTATTATATTCCTATCATTTGTATATTTCCTGTTTTTTTCACATGCCGGTGGTGTGTGATTAATTGCAATTAAATAAGTACCAGGAAGCCATTGAAACAATGGATTGAACCAATCTCTTCAATAAATGCTTAGAATAAGTTTGTATCAATTTTCTAGAATCAGAACAATTTTTAAAGCAAGTATTTTTGTTGGGAAACTAGTGCGAGATAGGTTTCATTAAAGTTATGACTTCGCATTAATTGAGGTATTTTGTGTTCTGTAACCACAAGGCACAACAATTTGTAGGCTCATTCTTCTTTGACACGCCAAAAATTTGTCGGCAAGAAGCTTTGCTCTGGTGTTAACGGTAAGAACCTTATTGTAAAGAAAGAGGATTTGTTAGTCAGTGTTTACAACTTGGCTTGAAAGAACTTTGTCGCAGACCATACATGGCCTTAAATACTTCCCATGCGTGACTAATGCAAGGGCTACATGCCGGAATTTATTAAAGTGGCAAGCGTCATACAAACAGTTGATTAACATTTGTTGAATTTGTACAACATTGCTAACACCTGTGACAAACATGTACAATTGTAAAATAATGTCGGGTATCTTGGTCAGTGTGCCACTAATTTCAAAACTTATCTTCTTGAAAAGTTCAAATGCACAACAATTTTACTAGGTCCAAACTGTGGTGAGCTAAAAGGCCTTTTCAAACCAATCCAATGTCAACCTACATTACTGGCATTGTTGGATGCAAGATTTTTGGGTCTGTTTGACCATTACGTACGTTTGGTAATGTTGGTTGAGGTCCCATCACACTTTCCGTCTGACATTGTCCAACATGTAAAGTTCTCGAAGAACACTACTTTGAACGTTTTAACATTACCGCCTTTTAGCATGTATAATTACCGAACTAATTGCCAGTCTTTCTTCCTATTAATGAATATAGTGAGTCTATAATCTATATAGCCTCGGGAAATTAGAAGATAAATTCTCCTTGGCTCTTGGCCTTCGCCGGTAATTCATGAAATTCCAATCTTCGACATCATACAAGAGTCAATATAGCTCACGTTAACAGTACTATAAGATTGCTCCATATTTATATTAAATTCGTTTAAACAATACTCATTTTTTTAAAACATGCGTTACATAGAAAAATTACGTACATTAAAAATTAAACTTGAAACGAGATTTAGGAGATTCGAGACGAAAAAAAAATTAACCTTGAACTCGTGTTGAATTTGAATAATTTTACACACGAATACACAGAAAGACTAGAAATTAGGAGAGAATGTAGAATATTATATAAATAGGACATTGTATGTATGCAATTATTGAAACGATATGGGAGAGTGAGTAAATTTAGAATGATGTGCGGATTAATGGACCATTTGCATTATACTTTATAGACTAAATTTTGATCTAGACAAAAATTTCATCACAGCTTGAAATAGCATCACAAAATTAGTAATATTCCAAAGTTTCGTTGCGAAATGTTGTAAAATGCGGATAATATAGCCATGGCCCATGCGAAGTTTGCCGGTTTTCAGTCATTTTGTATTACGCACGGAAAATTGACAGCCCAATCGTGTGTTGGGACATCAATTTCCCGTTTGTAATACAAAATGACTGAAAATTGCAAATTTCGCAAGGCTATATTATCCGCATTTTACAACATTTCGCAACGAAACTTTGGAATATTACTAATTTTGTGATGCTCTTTCAAGCTGTGATGAAATTTTTGTCTAGATCAAAATTTAGTCTATAATGCAAATGGTCCATTGGATGCGAAAGAGCGCAGACGTCATCTCATCTTCAAAAAGCTAACATTCAAGAGCATGTACTGCCTCTACAGATTATGCACAGGCAGTACATCTAACCATATTTAACTCAACGAGTTCTGTAGAACATCAGACCACTTTAAGGTAGCCCACATTCAAGAACATGTACTACCTCTGCGTGATCTCAGCAGTAAGTTCTGTACGTCATATCACTCAGTTTATAGTTTAGAGCAGCCCACATTCAAAATAAGTGTACTACCTCTGCTATATTTTGTACATCTGGAACCAAATACGTCCAAATTTATCCTCGATTCTAAAAGCAACCTCAAAATATTGACAGTTCTCCCAATAAACAAAGTACTTCCATTAAATCTCGGCATGATCAGTTCCGATCGCGTAGGATTATTTTTTCTTTGGAAATACTTTTGTTTTTAGCTATTCCACGTAATTGAGGTATACACGCCGGCACTTTGATTTTGAATTCATCAATAAGTTATGCTGCTGTTAATTATAGACGACGCGCAAAATATATATAGAATAAGTAATAGGATAGGAAATAAGATAAACTGAGAAATAGAGTCATAAAAGGTTGAAGGGTTAAGTCCCAAATATTTCTCATACACATTCACTAACAAAACCGTTAATTCGTCACAAATTAATTTCGTGCGTTTAAATTGGATAAAAGCTCATTTCCAATACTCCGGATTTAATTGGTAGACTGGCGGTTCCAATTACAGACGTAGAGACAACGAGCTTTTATAGGTGATATATTTTTAAGAAATCATGTTTGCAATGTATATTAAACCAATTCCTAATATATTTGAAATGGGCGTTTTATGCCTGTAGTAATATATCAGAAAACAAAAGTTTTGGATCAAAAATGGGTCAGCGTGTTTAATTTGAAGATAACATCTGCATTCTTATCTCGACAAGAAGATGCATGGATTAGTTGGAACATTAAATACTTTTTATTTCAAAAACAGTTTTGGTTAGGGCAGGTGCAAAATTAAAAGATGTACAGGCGGCTTTTATCATGTTTTCCAATCAAAATTGAAACTTGTCTTGCGAAGGGCGTAGCCTAGCATATTCAGAAAAACTAAATATTGTAGGAACACACAGGTCATATGGTATACGCGAGAAAAACGTGCCTCAAATTTCATCAAACCCAATTTCTGAATCTAGGTTACATATATAATGCAAGGCAAAGTACGAATAGAAAAACACGTTGACCTCAGGCCTGTTTATCTGAGACGGCCTACTTTGTGTAGTTATGCTCTATTTCGTCATTTTTCAAATCATAGCCGTTCATCGAATAGTTTTGTTTCCCAGTTTGATCCGTTGGAATTGTTTTAATTGGTATTAAACAAACATTAAACTTCTTTGGAATGACCGCTAAAATTATAAACACTGATTTCATGTGGATTAACCACGTCTTCAAGTCTTCGCTGGATTTTTCTACATGGGATATCAAAATGTTCGGACAAATCCTGTCAACTTAACAGTTCATCTCAAGCGACGTCATGCATTGTAATGGATTATCGCGATTTCAGCTTGGCCTCAGTAACTCTATTATATTGGAAATATAAAACGAGTATACAGTACGAAAATCAATCGTTGCAAGCCATTTTAGATTTTAGAAAAAACGTCAACACACTTAGGCACGTCTTCTTGTTTTCAGATACAACCGTTGTTTTTTAAACGTGTGACAAAATATTTTCTTAGCACGCTAATATTGATCTATTTTCGACAGTACCATGTCCTATTTCAATTAACTTTCATACACAATGAAAACTATATCGACAACTGCTGGACTTCATGAGGGCTTAATTAGTGGTCACCTTTCATTTCGGTAGTTTTAACCCCTTTCAAATGTTGGTCCAACAATGTTGGATGAAGATTTTAAGTCCGAATTGGAGGATTTGAAATAACATCTTAAATCACTACTTAATTCAGGGTTCGTAGCGGTCTTTGAAATCTTTGAAAAGTCTTTGAATTGTGTGAAAACGCGAAGAAAGTCTTCAAAAGTCTTTAAATTCTTTAGTGAGTATTTGATTATACGATTTCCTAGCTAATAAAATAGGTTGATTGAAGAGCAAGGCTTTCGCAAATATCGACGAAAAGGCACATTTTAGGATGTGATTTGACGGGACTAATTACCGGGTAAATGAAATTGTGCTTACACTCGCAATTTTTCGACAGCTGATTGCTCTGAAAGGTCTTTGAAAAATCTTTGAAAATAGGCAGAAAAAATCTTTGAAAGTCTTTGATTTTTTTGGTCTTGGAGACTACGAACCCTGTAATTTTGATCCAGTCCAAGGACTGAGACTCGATCGAGATACTTCACCTGGGATCCAGTATTATCATGTGAGCAAAATAAAGGAATATGGTCTGCTAATTTAGTCATGAATGATGAGTTTGAGATATGACTATAACTGGAACGCTACCTTCAGATAAACTGCCTATCTTTTTCTTGAAGACAAAATCTGACCCCCAGACCCGCGTGTTTATATCATGATCGACTGATTGAGCGCTCTTCGCATGCGTGAAAAGACTGGGACTGGCCTTCAAGTTTGGCTTCAAATGTCTGGTTGGAGCTGGTAGCCTTCCAGTGATATTCATTGCAATGGGACACACTTAGAGAGCATCATCTTAAATTTAAAAGTGGAACTTGATCCAACATCTTCCGACACTACCCAACATACTGTAATAGAGAGGTTCAGATTTGACTACCACACACGCAAAAACGCACAAGTTGTAACAAACCTGCAGCAGACTTGTAGCAATGCTGTTCCAACAACTTGTCATCAGGATGTGTTCGCACTGCTTGTTCGCAGCCTGTTGACAAGTTGTTAACGGCTTGTTGACAACTTGCTACAAGTTTGTTGAGCTCAACAGACTTGTTACACGTTGTTCCAACAACTTGTCATCGTCCTGCAATTCAACAATTTGTCAACAAGTTGTGAATGACAATCTTGTAGCAACTTGATAAAATTAATAACCGCATTGTTACAACGTGTTGACAAGCTTGCTACAAGCTTGTTGCGAACACATCTTGTTGACAAGTTGTGAGATTTGTGTGTACCTCACTGTCTCAGTAAACATCTGATTGGTTGATGGTCCCTTAATGGTAGCAGACGTCAAATCTGAACCTCACTAATCTTTAATTAAACGAGGCTAACACCAATATCTGAGAATGTAGGATTGAACGAGCCTTTAGGAACACGTCTTCATTGAACGCTTGAAAAAACTTAGTGTAAGATACCAGTGGGTTTACTATAGCTAGTATTCTACAATATGTTCTCTTGATAGTTTAGCCCTGGGCAAACTAGGAAACATTGCTGCGGAAACATTGTTTCCTACCAATGTTTCCCCATGTTTCCAAGAGTGGGCAAATACTAGGAAACATTAGTGAAAAACATAGGGAAACATCAAATGTTTCTGAAGTCGCTAGGAAACATTTTTGCTTCTCGGGAAGCAAATTTTGTTTCCGCAACAATGTTTCCACGGGTGGGCAAACAGGGAAACATTTGAGGAAACATCGAGAATCACAAATGTTTCCACAACAATGTTTCCTAGTTTGCCCAGGGCTTTTGTGTCCGAACTTCCTGAAAAAGATGTCTCAAATGTGGGGTTAGGTAATATCCTACAATAGCTGCCATGCGGTTTGTGTCAGAACCATTTTACAATCAACACTACCCATGCACTAATAAACTTCTATTTTTGTAGAACACAATATAAAATGTCAAGGCTCAGTTGTGAAGTTAACGTGCCTCAACAAATCTTACGTCATCACCATTGCCTCAGTTTTCTACGGTCGAACATTGCCGGGATCGTCGATCTGTCGCAGCCCTGCTTATTCATTTCTGTCTGATGAAAGCAGCTGCAGTAGCGACAAAAATGATGTTACAGCAGAAGTCAAGGAAATTTGTGAACAAAAAACCAGCTGTAACTTCACATTGAAGAAAGAAACCTTTGGAAAAGATGGTTGCCCCAATGTTTACAAGTACATGGATGTCGAGTATAAATGTGGTACGTTTTTATTTTAGCTTCTAGAGTCAGGATTGTATGGCTGGGTTTCACTAAGTAAATGCACTATCATGCTGTAGATGCTAGTAATACTAACCCAATGATTGCTGCACATGTCTCCAATAGACAATTCCCATTATAGACTAATTTTAAAACCAGACAAGGAGATGCAAATAAGTCGCCACAGCAAGAAAGAGCATGCTAAAATTAGTAAAATTGCAAAGTAGTTGGTTGCGAAATGTTGTATACTTTTGTATTGCGTGCGAAATTCCTGCCACATTTGGGCCGAAAATGGTAGCAATTTCCGCACGCAATACAAAAGTATACAAAATTTGCAAATTTTGCAAGGCTATATTTTCCGCATTTCACAACATTTCACAACCAAACTTTTCAAATTTACTAATTTTAGTATGCTCTTTCTAGCTGTGGTGATTTATTTGCATCTCCTTGCCTAGTTTTAAAATTGGTCTTTTATGGGAATTGTCTATTCGATTGAGATGATTCTTTAGGCATGACAACTATTAAGCCAACAACAAAAACATCGCTCGAGAAAAAACAACACCGGTCAGGCTTATGCAAGGCAAGGGAAAAAGCGACTCTGACGACCAGGAACCCACCCCTTGACCCAGTCCCCCAGCGTTCCTCAGTCGGCAGAAAACACTTCTTAAAGACAACGAGAATTATGTGGACTGTGTCATTTAATCAGTCCACAATGGTTATTTCAAAATTTACATACTGTACATAAGCCGAGGCACTCGAAGCAAAGCTGGACAATGTTCTTGTTTTGTTCTTTAGACGACATTATGAAAGTCAAAAAAAATATCAAAGAAGTGATCAGACCTGCCAGCCTTTCGTCATCAGTTGTCATAGTAACAAGTACCATAACCTCAACTTCGACGCCAATGACAAGTCAAGTCTCGTCAACTGAAGTTATCCAGCCCACATCCACTTTGGTGGCCAACGTAGATAGACTCATCACTATCTACCAACCACAAACGTCTACTCCTCGCTCCAGTTCACTGAGCAGCTCACGGCCACACAGTGTAAGTGTGACTACAGTTAGTCATACGGAGCGGTTGCCCACTACAAGTGTGGCCGCTACCATAGACAGGCCAAGCTTGAAAACAACAAAGCCGGCTTCAAAAACATACGAAAATAGCGCAACAAGTGCTGGTCAACATGGAACTATGAAACTGTTTAGATTTATTCTCAGTTTCCATATAATACATGAAGGTATGTTGTGTACCTGCACTAGGAAAAGCACTTCACTATACTTGAACATTCCTGCACATGCCAAAGTTTTCACACAAGTTTGCAAGCTTTGTTGCGCACCTATCACTGAATTTTTCACGTTCACCAAAGTTTCAACTGGTTGCTCCTAGTCACGATATTTTAACTCGGATATAATAATTGCACAACAATGTAAACAAAACTTGATAATAGAGGGGACTTGCTTTATTTACCCTGAATCTGCACTGTCAGCACTCTACCACATCACCACCATCACCCACCATTTTGTCTCCTGTACATCAGCACCACCATCATCATCACCACCACTTTGTCACCTGTACACCAGCACCACCATCATCACAACCATCATTATCACAACCACCATCATCACCATCACTTTGTCACCTGTACATCAGCACCATCATCACCACCACTTTGTCACCTGTGCATCAGTACCACCACCATTATCACAACCACCATCATCATCACCATCACTTTGTCACCTGTACATCAGCACCACCACTTTGTCACCTGTACATCATCACCACCACTTTGTCACCTGTGCATCAGCACCACCATCATTATCACAACCATCATTATCACAACCACCATCATCACCACCACTTTGTCACCTGTACATCTGCACCACCATCATTATCACAATCACCACCACTTTGCCACCTGTACATCAGCACCACCATCATCACAACCACCATTATCACCGCCACCACTTTGCCACCTGTAAGTCAATACTAACCGTTGCTTCCTTCCTACAGAGAGCATTCACAAACATACTGCAAGCTCTGTGGTTTGGTTCATGTTTGGTTTACTTGTTGGTTTATTTATCATGATCGCCGTACTAGTATATTACCGTGTAAAACAAGTACGGCGAGAACGCAAAGACAAACCAAATAAAGCTGCTTATATTAAGCAAAAAAACTGCACAGACGGAACTCTTGAAGAAAAAGTTATTTTACATCCAAAAGAACTTGAAGCTTTGGAAATGGAGAGTCAACTTGGAGAGACAGTGTAGTTATACTGTGGCTATAAATTTCACTGGAGAATCATGTGATTGCATGACGTAATTCCAAGTTACGTCAGCTCAAGTGATGTAACATTACGCTGTGAAGGAGGTCACAATGGAAATCTTGTGTGCGACCATAGTTAATGGAAAGCATATGACATCAAAGTATACCAGATACCTGCTTTGTATTGGGTCAATTTATGGAATGATATCCAAATTCCAAACCATGCTAACAATACAAAATATAATGCCTTTGATTGGTAATTAGTGGACAACCCTGTGTGGTTCTATACAACCTAATAGATGCAAGCAGTATCAAGATGAATTATGGTTGCTGTTCATGTCTTTGGCTCACAAAAAGATTTGAATTACATAAATAAATCAAAATCGACAATATTCATCATGTATCATAGCACAACATTTTATTGACTCTGTTTATAGAGTTAGAGATGTAACACAATTCTTAGAGAATGTACAATCCATTTTAATATTTAACAGAATTAATCCATTGTATAATTGAATAGTGTACATAAGTTACTAAGAAATTACTGAGAATTGAATATTATTTGGTATGTGCTCTTCGATTAGCCTTTCTATCGCCGCAATTTTTGGAGTGCTGTAATTTTTCGTAAACGATTATAACAATGTGAAAAGCAATATTTCAGAACAAACGAACTAATTACAGAGTAAATTTACCATCATACACCCACAAAATTATAAAATGTCGCCGTTACGTGGTGTCACACTCGCAGGATTGGCAAAAAAGTAACCCAAAAATGGGGGGTGAGAAAGGCTAATTGGATTTCTTTATATAAAGCTTTATATTGACAGTGACATGCTTTTTCCAAAACAAAAAAATATTCAGTACATTTTTGGAGATATGCGTAGAACAAGTTGCTTCAAAAACCTTTCTTGTGCGTATGGGCCTATAGGATTGTGTAGCTTTTCGTGTTTATTCTTTATTTTTGTAAAGGTCTTGTTGCTTCAGCTATCTGATACTTTGCTTTCAGTAAATAACATTCAATTAACTGTTCTAATTATTCTGAGAGAACCAAAATGGCACTTTCCATTTGGTCAGAAGTTTCTATCTCACCTTTACGCTCTTGAAAATATTTCATCATAAAATTTTCTTTATTTAGTCTTCATCAAACTCCTCGTCTAAATCCAGATCGTCCATATCTTGAAACAATGATTCGTCTACCTGGACATCATCTAAAAATAGTAACATAACCTGATGAGTTATATTGTATAATTTTCTTGCTTCTATCAGTATCAGAAGTTGACCCTGTTATTCCATTTTGGAAAATGCTTAAACCCACACCAATATGTGAAACACACCTCCCATAAATGCTTCATCTAAGGTTCCCATTAACTTGTTCTGTTCAAACAACTGCCTCCCTGAAGTAATAAAATAAATACAGTAAGTAAGAGAATATCACACAATATCACAGAATACAGATGAAGAATTAATTTGTATATGAAGTTTCTTCTACCTAATTATTAAGAAATATAATATTAATTGCAATAACTGACCTATATAGTGACTATAGGTAGTGTTCATAAAGCTCTGTCACAGAATAGGAACCTTACAGAAAGTTGAGTCTTGGTTTTGCCTATTATTTTGGCGTATCCGCTGCAATGCTGTTGCCAAGGTCTTAGCCAGTGCACTTATGAGAGGCATTCATCACGCATGAAAATATTCCAAATGGCAAATGTTCAGAGGGTGAATACCTCTTATAACCAAACTGGCTAGGAATATGGCAACAGAATTTTGATGACGAATCATTGTGAATCATGACGTGGCGTGCATCAACCTTATGTGCGTCTATTTTGTGGCCCTGTCATGCAACAGGTGGTAATCAACTCCAGGCACGGATTTTCTGGGGGGTGCGCACCCCCCAAGAAATGATTTGCACCCCCCCCCCCAGAGGCATTTGGCACCGCCCCCAAAAGTTTTTGCACAGCCGCAAATTATATTATATTTTGATTTGATAGTTTCATATTTGATTACTCTTACTACTAAATTTGTAAAATTACCAATATTATGGTCTCAGATCTTGCCATGCAGGCCTAGAAAACAAATTTTGTTAAACTTTTTCCTTGGCCTTTCCGACCAGGCCCTGGCCAAAGCAAGCAGCAGCACCCCCCCCCCAGATATTTATCCCCCCCCCAAAGAAAAAATAAATTAATATGAAAATCTGTCTCTGATCAACTCATTAGAAATTGGGTCATTCCAGAAAAGATCTGTACTCCCCCCAACAGAGGAAATTTCCCTTGTCTGGATGGGGGGAAACTTTGTTTCTGATAATTACGAACAAGATTTGGATCGACTGCCATTTAAACATTTTAAGTAACTTACCCAAGGTTACGTCGTCCGGCATATCACGAATTGAAAACACAAATTATCTAGAGTTTATTTTTTCTACTCTAGATAATTTGTGTTTTCAATTCGTGATATGCCGGACGACGTAACCTTGGGTAAGTTACTTAAAATGTTTCTGATAATAGTACAACAAATAGATTTCCATATTAGTCAGAGTGATTGTAAGGAGAGGGCCAAGAGGCTCAATAGACCTTACTGATTATTCTCTTTTACCCAATGGCCTCGTTTCCGTGTTAAACTTAATTTTGCATGTCAGGGGCAGATAAAGATTACATTCCCATGTTTTTCTGGAAAAATTTGTTTCTTGCTGTTCTTAGGCTCAATAACAAAGTGATTTTCAACCCTACTAAGCGAGTAAGTACTTCGATTTTAAACTAAACTCTTCGGAGCTTTTTCGCTTTAAATATGTAGTTCTAAACGAATATTCAAATAACAAATGTCTGTTGGTTTTTATTCCAAAATTTAGTTGGCAAACTAGTATGGCCGGTTTTGGACGCCATAAAAAATGAGTCGTACGGAAGCCAATAAGTGCTACTGGCTAGCCCTTTGGCTTTGAGCTTTTTTAGCTCAAATAAACACCCCCTAAACAAGCATGATTAATTTTTAATGCTAATCTTGGTTCTGCTGACTTTCATTAATAATCCTTCGTTTTTAAAATTTTTAGAAAAAATACTAATTTTGCCATGTTTTATTGAACATATTTTTTATCTGTTTCCGTTTACGTTGTTGACCTTTCCACTTCAAAAACGTGAAGGTTATGTTTGAAAATGCCGCTTTGTATATACATACATGTTTAAAACCAAAAATCTTTTTGGCGTACTTTTATTCTCTAGTTTATACAGTTAGCTACGTTTTCAAAAGCATTTGCCGGTTGAGAAACATAATTTTTTTTTCTAATTATTAATGACAATGTCAATGATGGTTTAAAATTGACGCCATATTTGCAACAATATATGGCAAAACTCTAGGCAAAACTCACTGAACCTCAGACATCATTTTCTCTGTGGCGTACTGTCTAAAATCTCTTCATTTCAGCATTATTTTACAGATAAAGCAATATTCCAATAAGCATATACTTTTTACGTTTGTTTGCCGATGGAGTTTGTTTAACGAAAAATGTAATCATATAAATAAAGTCATAATCGTAAGTGGTATATTATGCTTGTCAGTTTTGAGGCGTTACATAAACCTCGACATAAACATACAAAATAAATCTCCTCTTACTGTAATTCTACCTCAACATCGAATTTCAATAAAGTAAAATATTATATTTAATGTGGGCTTCCAGCGAATGCAAGGTTGACCAATATTCAAATAGGTTGAACGACTACCTAAAAGGCTAAAACTAGAACACAACTTCGACATTTCAAGCGAAGTTTCCAGTAGATTTTCAACTACATACATCCTTCGTACTGACTTCTAGATGTTAAATAAATATTTTGACTGATTCTAGTTCAAAGAAATTTAATATTTTTTAAAATTTTAAACAAATGGTTAGTGCAACTATTTGCCATTTTTTCTGACTTTTTCTGACACAGGGCCATGTTATTGAAAAACGTGCACTCGGAAACTTTCACGTTTTCATACATCATTCAAATATTTAATTAATCATACATCTCTTGCGTCTGCTAATCAATGGGCAGGTTTATAGTTAAAGGAAGAAAGCAAATGGGGCAAAAATGGGTAACTCACAGTTCTCTACAACTACTCAGCTTAGATAACATCAGTCTGTAACCGAAACTTGCTTTCTTCACAAAAGTATGACGAACCACTTCAACTAAAAATACTTGCTTGGGAGATTTTAACTTTTCATCTAATGTATATATTACAGTGATAAAAGATATTCTCCCAACACTACTCTAATCTACGTTTCAGATCGGACCAATCACAGGCCGAAATAGGGGCGGGAAAATCTTGCTGGGTGAAAGTTGTTCGTTGAAGTTTGAGCGGGCATTCTGGAACATGTCGGCCTTTGGAAGAGACTTACGTTCGTCTGCTCAAATTTATTTTGAAGACGACCGCTATTCGACGCTTCTGCGACCCAGAAATGCCTTCAACCGTTACAGGCAAGTATAAATTTGCTATTTCTTGAATTTTTCTGACATTTATTTGAATTTTTAGGCCTGAAATGCGGGTTCAAAGTTCACCGTTTGCTCGACCAGACCGAAGAAGTTTCGCCGCTTTCGCCTTTAGTTTCTTGTTCTTTTTGTTTGAGTTTTGTCTTCGCTAAACGTAGCAATACTTCGAGAGACTTTTGAAGGAATTTTGGTGTATTTTTGAGCAAAATTTCGAGACGAAATGCGAAGCTTTAGTCGAGCACTTGAACACGTGGTAAAATTTGTCACTGTATTTCGCTTCTACTTCGAATATTGAATGACACAAAGTAGAAACAAGACTCCAAAACAAACTCACGAAGTTTTTAGAAGTTTTTCAGGAAAATATTTGAAAAAAATTTAGTCTAAGTCGAACTTGGGAAATTTGGAAAATTTTTCGCGCGCGTGCCTCGGTCTTTAGCTTCATATTTGGACAACACAGATTTTGACCTAAAGTCAATAAATTCTGAAATATTCTACCAAATTTACCAAAATTTTATTCAACTGCCAGTTCCTGAGTTTCAACAAAGAGTCGTTTAAAAAACTTTTCATCAGTATTACTTTTAGGTTTAGGTTGGAAAAAATAAAGGGCAGTGGCATTACAACTTTTTTATTTTTCCAAGGTCTCTGTGAGACTTCGAGTCATTCAGCATGGACAAGCAGTACATGTAAAAAGAAAGGCGACGCTTTTTGGGTGTACTGTTTGTCTTTGCCGAATGGCTGGAAGTGTTGCAGGTATCTTGGGATATCTAATCAAGTTGCAGTGTTATTTTTCATAGCTGTTTCTATAAGGACAGCAAGACTGCTATTGCTATATGCTTTAGCAAATAAAACCTAGTGTATTTTATTTTCATGGCTGTTTCTATAGGGGCAGCAAGTGCTCTATTGCTATATGCTTTAGCCAAAAAATAGTTCATTCAATTTTCATAGCTGTTTCTATAAGGACAGCAAGACTGCTATTGCTATATGCTTTAGCAAATAACACCTAGTGTATTTTATTTTCATGGCTGTTTCTATAGGGGCAGCAAGTGCTATATAGCAAAAAATGTAGTGTATATATTCTTATTTTCATGGCTGTTTCTATAAAGGACAGCAGTGCTATTGCTATATGCTTTAGCAAACAAATATTCTATAAGGACAGCAAGTGCTATATAGCAAAAAATGTAGTGTATATTCTTATTTTCATGGCTGTTTCTATAAGGACAGCAAGATGTTCTACATGTAAATATTTTTACATTTGTGATCATTTGAATATGCTCTGATGTCCCATTGGTGATTCAGTGATTACTAATCAAGTGTGGATATATCTACAGTTTACCATCCTATATGTATGTTGGACCTATGGACTGGTTATTGGCAATGTGGATTATTTGATGTGGATAAAACATCAGGGTAAATTGGGTGTACTGTTTTCTGAATTATTTCCTTACCTGTAAAACGTAACTGCCAATTCCTGAGTTTTAACAAAGAGTCGTAATGCTTAGGGGCGAACCATTAGATTTTTAGGGTTAGAAAAACTCTAAACTCTACTCTCATCTTGACCACTGCAATATTTTTTACTCATATTTATTATATAAAGCATAGTGCTTTATAGAGATTTCGAGCACTGACAAAACTGATAATCTCACATGTGAGATTATTTATGATAATCTCACATGTGAAAATTATTGCTTTTCAATTTTGGCTTTTGTGTAAAAATTATCTGTAAAAATTAGACTGTCCTTTATATAATAAACAGAAAAATACATGGGTGCTTGGAAATACCAGATTTATTTCTCGTGTTGAACATGATATCTCATGTTCAACACTCGAAATAAATCTGGTATTTCCACGCACCCATGTATTATTCTCTATTTAAATTTTTCTTCACATTTATGCAATGATCAAGACAATGTTTCAGATGGACAGTAATAATGATGTTAGGATAGTCCTAGTGACGAACGATACCATATTAATTATATTGGGACAATTAGAAAGTATAATTGTCAGGGCCGGAACTACTGGGGGTGTAACACCCCCCAAAAGGGGGCCCAACTTGCCTAGAGGGGCCCCCTGGAATGCTGAAATTGCAAATTGCAATGCTTGAGACTGGGTGAGAAAGAGTTTTAAAATTTATTTTAGCCGTTTATGGCGCCATAGCATCGAGTTAATTTAATATTTTCTAGTTTGTTTTTAAAAATATTGCTGTATTATGGATAGTTTATACGGTATCTGGCTTCATACAGCAAAGAATGAAGAATAAAAATTTTATGGTTCAATGGTCGAAAAATCAATCAAGATGGCCTTCGATTGAAAATGAGCAATTAATTTACCTATTTTGAACGAAATTGGCTATACGCTATAACAATTGCCAATCCTATAGGCTAACCACATGTACGCAATGCGTACCTATTTTTTTTAAATGGCGGCCATGAGGCGATAATTCCACAGGGTGGCAGAATTCACTAATTTATGCACCTATCATTTGTTTCCCCCACCCCTGGGGGGGGGGGGGGAACTTAGGGGGATTTTACTGCAAATTTTGACACAGGGCGGGATGTTTACAGAGAACTGGAACCTGGGGGTGGGGATGAATCGACCATGTCTTAATTTCTGGTTTCGTGCAAATCTCGTACCCAAGCTTTCTGTCGTTCTTTTTATATGCTAGAACACGAGCTTTTAATATACTAACTGTGACACACTCTACCTCCTCTGCAGGCCATACAGTCGGTAATAATGAGCATGCCCGTTCGCAGGTTAAAATTTGAGATCTGAGACAAACTCTCCGTTCGTTTCCCACCAATTTTTGCCTCCCTATATTTTTGAAAGGCCTGTGGAGGAGGTAGTAATCCATTTTTGGGTGGCTTTTCAGCCAAAGTCTGCGAGATAAGTCCACATAACGGCAACGTTTTAGAATTTTTTGGACAAATGATGGCCATAAATTTGCTTTGTAAACGGTTAGTTTATTTTGAAATGTTGCTTTTCACACTGTTTTAACTGTCTGCATTGGTTAACAAGAATTAGATGCCACCCAAACATGGCAGATTTTGTCATCGTGAGAAAGGCTAATTGGAGTGCTAATTAATGGAGTGAGTGCATGACAGTGACAGACAGTCTTCTTTTTAATACATAATTATCACTTATTTACTGAGACAGAGGGAAACAGTGTGTTTTGTGGACCTGAGACCGCCGTTGTTGCCCGAGGCGATGTCGAGGGCAACAACGGCGGTCTCGGGTCCACAAAACACACTGTTTCCCTCGGTCTCAGTAAAGAAGTGTTTTGTTATATATAGTATATAGGTGTCAAAGTATGAATAATTCACCGGTTATTTGAGTGAACTTAATTTGAAACCAAAACTGGATAAATGGAATGCCGTAAATGTTTAGTAAAAAGTTTTAAAAATGAACTTTGGAACTTCATGGTTGACACACATGTATTGCACCCATTTTATTATTGACCGGTCAATAAATGTTTGATTGCGGACCGGTTGCCGAACATGACGTTTTGTGGACCGGCACGTGACAGTTTTCCCCATCTGAGGGCAGGGAAATTTGATGCGAAAAACTACAAATGTCAAATGCCCAGGGGTTTGCCCCCCCCCCCCCCACCAGGGCGGTGGAAACAAATGATAGATGATAGGTGCATTTAGCATTCTCTTTGCAATGTCTGTCCTCCTGTCATGAGGTGAGTGTGCTTATTCATGATCGTTTGGCAAATTCTTAGTCTGTGCCTATTTCGGTGATAATTTTCTTCCTTGATTTCGTAGAGAACCCTAGCCTAGACGTAAAAAAAATACCTGTGGTTCCGGTTTCATATTGTGAAAAATTAGGGTCGGTAGGTCGGAAATAAATTTTTTTAAAATATTTTTTTCATGTTTTTTGCTGGGTGATTTGCAGTAGAGCGCACGGTCAATCGCGTTGAAAAAATAATAGGGTCGGCAGAAAAAAATAGGGTCAGTCGGGAACCGGAACCACCGGTATTTTTTTTACGCCTTACCTTGGAATACCTCTAGAGTACCTTAGCAATACCTTAGGGTATCGAAGCCTACCTTTCAACAAATAAAAATTCAGAATGACATCTCATCATAGGAGCAAACAACAAAGTCGGATACCTTTGGATCTACCAGCTTCACTAGGTTTGTCTTTCCCAACACCAGATTAAACTCTAATGCATATGATTCATCTTCTGAAACACGTTTGGCTGCCATTACACTCTCAAAGAGGGGGACAAATTGATGAAAGCTCCTTGTGCCAGGCAGAGTACTTACACAACATGTTTTACAGTTTTCTTTAAAACTTCATAGACAAAACATGTGTCATGATTCAAATCTTCCGAGATGAAACAAAGAGATTTCTCTGTAAGTTTATTTTCTTTGATATAGTACAAGACAATTGGATGTAGGGTACACACTGCTTATTCCAGTGAAATACACTTCTTGAGATACTTTGCCTGAGATTTTGCAATGTAAGAATGAGCTGTGAGAGTGTTAAGTTTCTCTACAAGGATGGAAATGAAATCTGCAACCGGAAGGATCTGCTCGACTAACTCTGAGCGGTCGACAGTTGTCCATTGTTGGAATTGTATGGTGAGTGGTTCATCTTCCTCATCCTCATCAATTTCAGGTTGGAGTTGTTGAAACAAGTAGTTTTCCAGATCTTGAGTGTCAGCTGGGCAGTTGGGGCAACGGTGAATCATACACTCTTTGGAATCTCTGCTGCACACCATCATGTCCATAAGCTCATGGTGAGTTTTGTCAAGGTTTACTGCACCAAGCATCAGAACTACATTTTGATGAATGGTACACACACAAACGGAATGGGTGCCTGAACATCCAACCAACACACACCATTTTGGTTTCAGACTGCAAAACTTTGAAAATCCTACTTTTAGATCAGGATATTTCTGTTTGAATGTAGCATATAGTTCTTTTAAGTCACAAAGCAACAGCCTTTTCTGCTTGTGAACATTTCTTGCAATGCTAACACAATCCTTTTTTCCTGGCATAAGTCTACTGTACTCATCGTCGCAATAAAAATCAACAACACATCTTTTTGTTTCTTCAGATAAAGCTTTTCCTTTCTTTGGTCCTGGTAACTCCAAAATACCCCTTTCTTTCACTAATTTTCTTGCCTGCCTGACCATGTAAGCAGAAACGTTAAATTCATTTTTAGTTTTTTCAATGGACCAAGAAGGTGGAGCAATAGTCAGTATTTGTATTTTCTGTCTTCTGTTAGAGGATTGCATCTTGTTTTTCATGAGATCAACAAGTCGGTCTAAATTATCCGCTTTTTCCTTTATTTCTTTGTAATTGTCAGGTTGACTGTTCTCTGATAGTTCTAGATCTTCTGGCATAACATCAATAACTTTGGCAACTCGTTTCGGAATTGTAGTTTCTTGATCTTTCAGTTTATCATGAAATTGCTGTAGTTTGCGTTTACCTAAAGTGACTTTGGAATGAGAAGCAACACCGTGTAACTTCACTGGACTCAAACCCATCTCTTCAAAACTTGTGTCAAGGTCATGCCTCAAGGTCATTTCTTCATTGCTCCCAGAAGACATAGTTTCTACATCAGTTTCGTTTCCTATATGTGAATCAGATTCATCTACAAACTGCTGATCCTTCTTATTTGATGCGGCCTCCAAGTTGCTAGTAAGTTCTTTGCGACAATTTGGGCATATCTTTTTTCCAGGAATTACTGAAATATTTATGCTATTAAAATCTTCAGCAGTGTTCAAAGACACTTCTCGCAGTGAACCCTTTATTGGTTTTTGGTGTTTTTCAAATGGGTTGCAGCAGTATCTTTGGCACTGTGAATATCTTGTAAGAACTGTCTGCTCATGATGCAGACAAATTTCATGTTCAGGACTGTTTGAAATTCCTGTTCTCATTGATATTAATTTGACCTGCTCTGCTGTTAAAATGCTGAATGATTTTAGGCCGGTTAACCTTCTATGAACACGTAAATGGCACTCTTCTTCCAGGTGGTTTCCAATGGAACAATCCTGCAATTTTTCTGTTGAAGACATCCTTCTCTTTAGAGTAATAGAGTTTGAGAAAATTTGAGCAATGAAAAGTTTGTATTTAAACTTAGGATATACTTCATGTATGCAAAGTATTGTGTACCATCATATTTTCTTCCAATGAAATATAGCAAAAACCTAAACTTCTGTTTTAAAGACCAATGTTTGTCATAGATTTTGCTTAGATTGATGTGTCTCAGAGGTCTGATAGGCAAATGCTCTTTCATACTTAATTATACATAATGATATCAACACAACATGAAATATTTGAACATATTGCACTGGTTTTATACAATGATTGTACATCTGATGTACTATATAAACCGAATGGTAAAGGTACAGTATACCATAGTTTCCACCATATTTGATAAGAATTTCCAAGAAATGTCTTTAGCATCTTTGTTAGCTTATTTTTCAGCAAGTAGAGGAGACACCAAGCCAAAACTTGGTGAAAGTAATCCTTATTATATATACATGTAACACACCAAAAATGGTCCTGGTGCTACTTGGTCAACATGGAAAATTTTCAGTTTGTAATTTGATACTTTTTTCCAGTTTCGGAATATCTATGCTTTCATATCTCACTAATACCTCCAGTTGGTGCAATTTTGGTTAAAATCTGAGATGAGTGGGTGTCATGCCCTTGTTGAGTTGATATGGAATGACCCCTAGGCTAAGGTATTCTAGGGTACTGCAAGGTAGTGGCACAAGGTAGGCTAAGGTACCCTAAAGTAGACTAAGGTATCCTAAGGTACTCTGGGGTAGGCTTAAATAGAGCTCACTGGGTAGGCTTAAATAGAGCTCACTGGGTAGGCTAAGGTATTTTAAGGTACTGCAAGGTAGGCTAAGGTACTCTGAGGTACCTACACCCTTAGGTCATTGTATATTTGATATACTATAATGAGGGCTACATGAAGTCTATACCTTGAGAAGAGAATGCCTCTGAGAATGTAGCCTGCGAACAGGCTCTCAAGCTGAATTGAGAGCCTGCATCGATGACTAATGAATTTGAATATCTGCCCCGTAACTTTCGTTTTTCCAAATATGGAATGTCTATCCTTATATGGTTCGAACT